CCAAGTCCCGCTACTATGAGACGCCTCCGCGTTTTGAATTCTACTGAAGTTCAGCGGTTCATATTTTATAATTATGAAGTTAAAAAAAAGCGTAATACATGTTCTAATTGCTTTTTTAGAAATCACTATCTATTTCTTTGTGAAAATTGCTGCGCATTTTTCAATACAATATTATAATTTTAAAACATGTAAATTTCTCTAACACGAGCTAAAGATTTTACCTTACACGCAATGTAATAATTTAAAAAATTTTAATTAATTCAAGACCAATTTTTAGAAGGGAAGTTCCCAAGATATCGACAGTGCGCGACACAGCTTCCCCGGATACTAACCCTAGGCAATCTAAAATGCTTAAATAATGATTTCATTAAATAGCATATTTTAAGGTAATTCCAGTTACAAATTTATTAAGTCCTATAAATTTGCGAAGATCATAAGATAAAATCACATCCTATAATTAATAAGTCCTATAAATTTGCGATAGATCATAAGAATAAAATCATTCAGCTAGTATTCAATTTCATACTTAATGTAGTTCAATTAAATTTATTTAGAAAAATTTATATTTTTACAAAAGCGCAGATACTAAAAATATACAAATAAAGATGCTGTTGTGATATAAATGGTAACTTTAAATAAGCCTATTCAAATATATTCTTCCTCCTTTGCAAGTTTTTCTTCTGCCCTTATTATTGTGTCTCCATCAAATTCTATTACGCGCTTCATTCTCTTTCTTTTTTTTTTTTTTTTCCCTTCCTCATTTTGTTTCTTCCATTAAATTCAATTATGAGCATCATATCTACATTTAATAATATGGAAAAAATTCTAAACAATATTTCTATAAAGAAACATACAATTTATAAGAATATGTTAGAGGCATATCTGAAAGCTATGACACTTCAATTCTTTTTACTTGTTTTTGCATCTTAAAATTCTTTGCAGAAAATGAAATCAATTTTGCTTCAAGAATTTTTTAGCACTTAGCCATATCGTATTCTTAAAATTGCACAAACTCATTGTAAATAAAAGGGGAGCGTTTGTTTTGGTCGGAGATCATCATTATATTAGAGGCTTTGGAGATTGTTGTTGTTGTCGAGTCCATATATTACATAGAACAATGTTGCCATAGCCTGCTCCAAAGAGAGTTTGAGCTTCTTATGTTCCACTCCAATTTTTAAAGGCCAGCACCCCGTGGGGTGGTCCACTTCTCTCCACTTTCACAAAGCCACACGCGAGGACTTTCGACTCGCCATCATATTTAGAGTGCCCCCATGCCGCACAGACACTATAAATTTACAAACTCCGGGATTCAAACCCGGACCTATGTCACCGCAGTAAGCTTGTCTAACCATCTGGGCGACGGCATTGGAGGTCAAAAGGTCTTTAGCAATGTGCTCTGACAACCTGACACCGACAGTGTTAAAAATGTGGTCCCGTGAAAAAATCCATGAAGGAGCAATCTTGCTGCAGTGTGGCGAAAGAAAAAGAAAAGTCTAAAAAGGCGCATGTATTTGGGAAGAAAAATCGTACGTCAGACTGAGACCCAATACGATGAGGAAGCCGGCAGTGCTTCACATTCGCATCATTAATCGTCTTTGGGAGAACTCTGGATCGTAACTCTTGAACTACTTGAAAAGCTACTCTCATCTTAGCTGTTATTGTCTCTTCGCTTGTTTTATTTTCCTTACAATATTCGTGATTTTGTTCATAAGATTAAATACACTTTAAATATGGATAATATATATGCAGTTTCTTGAATAGATTAGGGCTTTGTCTTAAGTTTATTGCCGAATTTTCCAGATCTTGTTGAATTTTACTTGATCATTTATTGAGGTTATTCTTTTTTAAGAGGCTCTGTTTTATTTTCTGTTATGTTACTGGTATACTCTGCGCATTCTGTAGAGATTGACGTGATTTTCTTTGCAAAAATGACAAATGGGCTTTTCTTAGGTCTGTGATTTTGCGAGCATTTGCAACATCTTTTCTTTTGTAGCAACCGTGCTGTGTATGTCCATATTCCTGACATTTCAAACATTGAACAGGACATTTTTTTTTTTTTTTTTTTTTTTGAGAGTACGCTACAATAGTTATATTGAAATTAAAGAAGCTATTTAATATGTAAAGAGCTTCTCCTTCGGCATTTCTTTTTAATTTGAGGAGATAAAGCGGGGATTAAATTAATTGCTCTTTAAATTATATTAAATTTATATTAATTAATAAAAAAAACTTATAAGAATCAAAATATAAACCTTCTTCTCACTCTTCGGTTTGGTTTATTTAATTATGGCAAAGCACACTACAGCTGTCTGCCTAAGAGGATCTTATCAGTAAACTGTTTAAAGGCAGAAATATAAATATTAAATTTTCTCTAGAATATATTCAAGGAAAATAAACATTTTTATTAGATTATAAATCAAATTCTAATCACAGCTATACTTTAAAATTGGCAAAAAGACTTCGTGAAGATCTAGATGAGGAATATGAATTTTTATATCTACTAAAATCCGATGAAGATAAAAGAGGTTTCAGTAGGAATATCAAGGCGAAACTCTGAAAACGCTCGAAGAAAAATGTAGAAATATGTATTTTGTGCGTTTCTGATACCGCATAGGTATTCTTAAATGATAGATCGGACAACTAAAACTGCTCAATGGCAGTTTTAGTTTCCTATATGATTTATCAGAAACTGATAAGGATCAACAGAAAAACTGCAGCAATTTGGGATGTGCTTACTGTTTAAACTACTTCTGGGAAAGCTCTTTTCTTTGGAAAAATTGCATATAATGTGTCATGATCGTAGATGTGATGTGAGATTAAGCAGATGAGAAAAATATACAGTGGTGCCTCACACAACAAACTTAATTCGTTCCAGGAGCAAATTTGTTATGCGAAAAGTTCGTTATGTGAAACGCGTTTTCCCGAAAAATTCATGTTAAAAAAATAATTCGTTCTGTAGCATAAAATATGCTAAGATGACATAAAAAAGATAAATTTTTTGTTATTATTTTTATTTAGATACATCTAAAAACATAATTCTAAAAAAAAAAAACACACACACATTTTTTTAAATTTTAAGACAGACTAAGTAGAGTCTACCGAATCTTCCACATCTTCATCCATTTTCTGCTTTTTGGACCGATGGTTTCATGAAAAACCTGTCCAAAGTAGTTTGTTTTTCTCTTTTCTCCAACATCTGCCGGAAATAACGGACAAGAGTATCGGAGTAAAGATCGTTGATCATGTTTGCTTCAGCTGAATCCGGATAGTGGGCATTGGTAAACTCCTGAACTGCTTTCCATTTGACCAGGATGTTCTTGATGTCAGCAGTTGGGATTGGTTGATTGTTTGATTGTTTGATTGTTGCTCCTCGTTATCAGATGACGCTTCCCTTTGAGCATTGTCCTGTTGCTGGACCAGAAGTGCTTGGAGCTCGTCAGTTGTCAGCTCTTCTTCGTGTTCCTCAATAAGCTCCCTCTACATCCTCTTCCTCTACCTCTAATTCCAACCTTTGGGTCACTGTGATAATGTCCTTCACTACTTCTGTGTCATCAACTACTGCTTCTTCCTGCGTCCACGAAGGCACAAGCATCTTCCAAGCAGAAATGAGGGTCCTTTGTGACACTTCTTCCCAGGCCTTCTGTATAAGTCGTATTGCCATAAGGACATCAAATTTCTCCTTCGAAAACTTTCGGACAGTCATATTGTCTCCACCAAACTCGCATTCTTCAAACACCTTATTAAAGAGGGCTCTAGTGTAGAGTTTTTTAAAGTTCGCAATAACTTGCTGATCCATTGGCTGAAGAATGGATGTGGTGTTTGGTGGCAAATACTGCACCTTGATAAAAGGATAATTTTCCTGCAATATTCCCTCTAGGTCTTTTGAGTGAGAGGGGGCATTGCCAAGGTATCAGAAGGGCTTTGAGCAGCAGTTCTTTTTCCAGGAAGAATTTCTTCACGGCAGGAGCAAAGGTTTCCAGAATCCATTCGTTGAAGATAACTTGGGTCACCCAGGCTTTTTGATTGGACTTCCAATGGACGGGCAGTTTGGACTTACCGTATTTTTCGCCGTATAAGACGCATCGGCATATAAGACGCACCCAATTTTAAAGGAGGCAAATCTAGAAAAAAAAGATTATGAACCAAATTTTGTAGTAAAATATTTTATATCAACTGTATAAAGTTAACAGCAGTTTAAGAAAAATTTTATGTCAACCATGTAACATACTAAGAGCTATCTTTACTCTCATACCTTCACCCGCTCCCGCGCTGGCTTACGAGACTCTAAAAAGTGCACAAAGCCAGCGCGGGAGCGAGCGAAGGCACGCGCCTCTTCGCTCAGCCAATCGCAGCGCGAGGCAGAGACCGTCCAAATACAGTGCGAGGCAGAGCGGGGCTTCCTGGTCTCAGACGGCGCCAAGAGGTGGAAGAGAACGGAGTGGCCGAGTATTCCTGCGGTAAGGTATGTATGCAGAGGTGGAGGGGCAGCGGAGGGCCATGGTGGGCTTTTGTATTTGCCGTATAAGACGCAGGCACTTCCCCCCTGATTTTGGGGAGAAAAAGTGCGTCTTATACGGCGAAAAATACGGTAATAACGTTATTTTTCTTGAAAATTCTTGGATTTTCAGAGTGATAAACCAATAGAGGTTTGATCTTGAGGTCTCCGCTGGCATAAGGGTAACAATGACGAAAACATAAGGGTAAGTCTGTCCTTCATGGCTTTGTGTCCTGGCAATTTCTTCTCCTCTTTTGTAATGAAGGTTCTGCTCGGCATTCTTTTTCCAGAAAAAGACCCGTTTTCATCGGGCATTGAACACTTGTTGTAGGCAGTATCCTTCATCCTTAATACATTTTTGAAAGTTATAGAGAACTTTTCTGCTTCTTTCTTGTCAGCACTGCCAGCCTCACCATGCATAAGTAACGCTGTGGATTCCACAACCTTTTCTTAAATCTAAAAAACCACCCCCCTGCTGGCTTTGAATTCTTCATTATCCTGATTGCTGCTACTTCCAGGGACAGTTTTTCTTTAGATCGTCATAAATTCTCTTGGCTTTGTGACAGATAATATCTTGGGTTGTTACGTCACCCTTCACCTGCCTGTCTTTAATCCAAATCGCTAATAGCCTCTCCCTTTCCTCGTGGATTGAAGACCTATGTTTTTCATGAAATAGTTTTGATACTCCTTTGGCTACTTTGGCTGATTTGATTGCATCCTTATTTGTCAAAATGGTGAAAATGGTGGTCTTGCTGAGGCCAGACTCTTTGACGAGGTCACACTGTTTTACCCCACATTCACTCCTTCTAACTATTTCCTGTTTCTTTTCAACAGAAATCACCTTCCTGCTTTTTTTAGAAGCCATGATATAAAAAAAATATTGATTTTAACTTAAAAGGACGATATTGAGTTTAACTTAAAAGGAGGTATTGCCGCGATACGTGCTTAAGTTAAGCGCAGTGACTAATGACTGCATGCAGTGCCTGCGCGGAAGGATGCAATACGCGCGGAAGGATGCCCGATCGTGGAAGCTCGGGCGAAGCAGGGTAAAATCCTAGTATACGGTGCAGCCTTGGCGCGATTTTGAAAATTATCGCCAACACCAAAAATGACCCAAACAACGTCTATATACTATACACTAATATATATATATATATATATATATATACAGGGTGATTATAATTAAAGTTTAAGTTTCAAAAACGCTATAAAAAAAACCACTGATGAAATGATGTTGAAATTTGAAAGGAATGTTTTGAAGAAGGCGGAAAGCGTATGGCAGAAGAAAAATTTAGTTTTTTTTTAAAAAGTTAGCAACAGATGGCGCTATAAGCGGCAAAATCACGACGAGAAACGAGAAGCGATTCGTAAAACAATGGCTAAAGTGGAAGTTACACATTAAAATGCATTGACAAATTAGAATTGTTGAATAATTTTATTTGCATGAGTGTATATATCACATCGAAAGGGACAAATCGGTTTCAAGAGTTTTGCGGCGACATACCGCATAAGAACCATTCATCAAAGAAGTTCGGAACTGTCGCGAGACTGGCACAAAACACATTCAATATGGTGTTGTGTGCAACTAGTTGAAAGCGACAAACAGCATGTTCCACAACGGATCGCAGTGTCTCCGGGGTGATGTTCAGAATGTGTTGCGAAATGCGTGCCTTTAATTCCGCTAAATTTGCAATTGGAGCACGGAACACAACATCCTTCAGATATCCCCACAGCCAGAAATCACACGGAGTAAGATCAGGCGATCGGGACGGCCAGGCTGTAGGGAAATGACGGCCGATAATTCGAGCATTTCCGAAATGGCGCCACAGCAGCTGCTTCATGGGATGTGCAATGTGCGGAGGAATGCCATCGTTGTATAAAAATTATTTCATCCACACATCCACGCTGTTGCAGAGCTGGAAATCACGATGTTGCGCAAAAGAGACGCATACTCTGACCAGTGACGGTTGCAGGTAACAGGATCCGGAAGCACCCGTCTGCTTGAAAAAATATGGTTTTAGGACGAATGATGCCGTAAAGCCGCACCATACCGTGACCTTTTCAGGATGAAGTGGTACGGGGTGCGGTTGCCAGTGGATTTTCTATTGCCCATATTCGAACAATTCTGGGTATTCACGTACATGCCTGTGTCAGATGGAAATGGACTTCATATCTGTCCACAAAATTTTCCACGGCCATTCATTATCCACTTCCATGCGAGCCAGGAATTCTAACGCAAACGTCTCCCTTACTGCCGTCAGGTCAGGCGGAAGCAACTTCCTGCACATGGCAAATTTTGTACGGATAGCATTGCAGGATGTTTCGTACAATTTTCAGCACCACGTGCTCGTAGGCCTGTCCAATGTTCGGGCAATTCCTCGTGCACTGCACTGCTTGCACACTGCACCGGCCGACCCCTCCTGTAATGCTGTGGCCACTTCTTCAACTACCGTTGAATGCACTCGTTTTCTCCCTCTACCAGATTGCACATCAAACGAAACCTGTCGTTTTGAAATTTTTGCATTATCATTTCTCTTTAGATCCTCACGACACTCATTGGACCAACACGCTTCTTTTATACCCTTCAGTGTCCTGAATTTTTGCAGAGCTACTCTTGCACAATCATCATTCTTGTAATACAGCTTTATTAGTAGAGCACGGTCCTACAGTGAAAACACCCATGGCGAACGTCTGAGACGCGAAATGAGGACAGCCTGGTAGTGACGGCTTTATAACACTGAAATTTAACTAACATTTTAATTTGTCATCTTCCGCTTACAGCGCCATCTGTTGCTAACTTTTGAAACTACAATTTTTTCTTCTGCCATACGCTTTCCCGCCTTCTTCAATAATATTCCTTTCAAATTTGGCATCATATTTTCATGAGTGGTTCTTTTTCTATAGCGTTTTGAAACTTAAACTTTAATTATAATCACCCTGTATATATACCCAAACAACGTCTATGTATACTAAGTAAATACTATGTATAACTATATATATTCTTTGAATAACCCGTTTACTACTCATCGTATATGTCCGGTTTTTATTGCTCATTATAAAGTCGCCAAAAGTAGCCAAATCCCGTGTGCACCGGATACTAGGATTAAACCCGAAGCAGTGGTGGAAGCTCGGGCGACTTCGTTGTGTGAAACGAAGTTCATTGTATGAATCATGAAATGAAGTTCGTTGTGTGCAGCGTTCGCTGTGCGAGGCGTGCTTTATCGACACCACCGCTTTATGCGAGGCACCACTGTAGTTCAAATACCGCGAAAGGATAGACACTTGTGTTACATTTTCTTGATAAGTATAGAGCATTTTTCTAGTAATCAATCTATAATAAATGAATATCAATCTAAATTGAATTATGCTTAAATTACAGCATTTCTTTTATATCTGTTATGTAAGCTGTCATTATATACGTTAGTTTAAACCATATATGAACTCCGTAACGATTTATTTTGCAGGAAAATGTATAGGATTGCAGAAGAAATTCATATAAAGACTTTCACATACTTTGGACCATTCTGCGTAGGTATTGGAACTGGATATTTGCTGTTAAAGCTTCCTAAAGTTAAACTTGGGTTGGTAAGAAAATATTTTTTGTCATATTCTTAAATATAATACATTAATCATAATCTTAAATATTTACACAAAATGAGTCATTTTGTTGCTTGAATAAGATCGAAGTGGCAGAAAAAATCATCTCATAATGGCACAAAATAATAATATAGCTACAAATTGTCTACAGGAGAGATCTAAGGACAGATACATGAGTTGATAAAAATGTTGATTAATAAGATAATAAACACCTAAGGGCTTGCAGCTTTCATTCTCTTGTTTCTGGTAAAAATTTTGCTCAGGGCAATTAAGGTACGAAACTGGCCGGCTTGCGTTTGTGGATTACAAAACAATTTCCAACTCATTCACTTGTTCCCCAGGCGATATTTTCTTTACTATCCAGTTAGGAGGATACAAATCAGGGATAATTTTTTTGGTTGTTTTTATTTTAATTTTTGAATTTTTTATATCATACATAATACATTGATCAAAAAAGCTGTATTGATTCTCCTTTCTTGTGTTTTGCTTTTATGTTGGTTGCATGTCTTCGATAAAACGTCAATCAAACTCTAATGTTTCTAACTACTTTGTCTATGCTGAACGTAGAGGAACCTATTGAGCTGTGTAGCGACTTATGGCTGAGTTCAAGTATTTAACAACTTATAAATCCAGAGCAGAGTTAAAGTATCCTTTTATTCACTCAAAGAAATGGTAAGAGATGGCCCCTTCTCGGGTTTATAGAAAGCCTCCACACAGACTTTTAAATCAAGATAAGAAAATAAGAAACTAATCTAATACTAAACCAAAGTTAGACACAATTACCTAACGTAGTTGACCCTTAATTAAATTAGCCTCCAATTATCAGCAGAGACGTTCAATACGGCTGAGCGTAGTTGACTTAATAACAAAGTAGCCTGACGGCAATCATGCGCCACTAAGCACTCTTTCTTTCTTTCTTTTGAATGGCTAGGTGGCATGTAGCAGCCTACGCTGCTCTAACCACCGCTTTTGAAAAATTGCCCTTAGGCGTTGGTATAATAAGTAAATGAGATGGGCGTAAACGCGGCGCCTACGAGGCGGAGCTGGAACAGATACATTAAGTATGTGAAATGAGAAAGCATCTGGGAACCGTTCGAGCTGTGACAAATAGTATAGAACTGACTGAACTGAATAACGATGTTGCTTAATAAAGCGTTTTGAAAAACTAAACATTACATAGTAATTTAAATTAAGTACGGTTTTCTAAGCTCTCCTGCTGAAGTAAGCTGAACATTCCTTAAATACTCCTCCAACATCATTTACATGCAACGAGATACTAAAAACTCACTCTGGTAGGGAATAGCAAGTGGGAAACAAAAATTGAAAGGATTTAAGAATTAAAAATAATTCCTATAAATTTAAAATAAACCTGACAAGGTAATTGGGAAGACTTCGCCGACTACGGATGCAAGATTTGAATGCAGCATGTATGCTTTTCATTATGATCGCACATCACCAAATTTTTGCATCTCTTTGGATTTATGCATTCGCCTTATGCACTTTAGCATATCTAAGGAATGAACTTTTTCAAGTTTCTACAGGAAAATTGCACACTTATGCCTAAAATGCTTTCCTGACTCAGCTTACGAATGGATTGCTATTTTCAATTAATGCCATACGACTTAATTGCCTTTCACCATGCCATGCTTATTAATTGCACGACCATGCTTTAATTGCAATTGCCTCAACAGGAATTGCCCTACCTACACAGCTGCTTATCATTAGATGATCGTATGCCTCGGCAGAAGGAAGTTCTTCGCCCACAGGTGTTGGTATGTATCGTACACCACTTGTATCTCCAGTAACGCAAAAGGCCTTAGACACCAAATGACAGGTAATGATTCTTTGAAATCGAGGCCTGATCCCAAAGAAAACGATTCAGATTCAGAACTTGATAAAACAGTAGAGTAGTTCAAAATCGTTTTAAAATGAGAGAAAAAGTCATACCAGTCGAACTGAAAATTCGAAATTTGAATTTAAGAACTGTGGTGGAAATTATTGGATAAGACTAAGTATTGGGAATTACTTGAATTACTAAGACAGCTAAAGAAACTAGTGCTACAGCAATTCAGAAAAAATGGTGTCAAAATCGGCTTTCCTAACAGAGGAAAGTGCATCTAAAGTCTTGTGAGTCAGTCAAATAAAATATGCGTTAAAAAAAGATAACTCTCTGAATAGCTGTCCCATAACTGTAGTCTTCTGTAATATAGTGACAATTTCTTTCTACAGATATCCAAACTCATTGGTTGGTGCTGTTCTTGTGTGTTTGGAATATCTGCGCTTTATGGCACGCACAGGTGGAATACGGGACAGTTTCCATCTACAGAAGTGACAGCAACGTATGCCGCCTTGCACAGGACAACATTTGTCGTCGCCTTGGCTTGGGTAGCTTTCGTATGCGTCACTGGGAATGCAGGTTAGTTTGAATTATCTTAAATACTAGGTTTATGAATGCTAATATATTACTGGTTTGATAGTCATAGTGGTATGAAATCACAAGTTATAGACATCTATAACTGCAGAATGAGACGAATTATTGTTTGTTTCAGTCTTACTGTCTCAGCGCTAAATAAAATTCTGTTTCTTAAATTTCAAAAACTGAAAGGAAAATTTAATTAAAACTTGCTAAAATAGGATCAAGTTTTTATTTATTATGCCATTAAAAATTTCGAAAACATTGTCAGTGTTTCTAACATCTGGAATTTTTATTTCTGAGAGACGAAAGCAATTCATTTTGTATTTCTCACGAATTCTCAGCAAAATTATATATAATTAAATTCAGTTTGGTTTTGTTGCAGGGGTTATTCAGATCATAAAAATATTAATTTAAGAAATTATGCTTTGCTCTCGATGTCTTTCTATTTATTTTTATACAAAAAATATTTTTATCTCTTTAGAAAAAAGGAAAATTTGTGAACATATATGTTCATCGAATATAAAGAACATACAGTCAAAAGTCGTTAATCCGGACTCGTCGGGACTTCGGCGATTCCGGATTATCGATTTTTCCGGATTATAGATCATCAGTTTAAATCTCGTAAGATGGCATGCAGAAAATTCTAAAATTAAAAATGTGAAACCGTAATTTATGAAATAATGAACATATTTATGATCTAAAGGGTATCAAAATTTGCAAAAAGAAAAAAGCTTAATATTTATTTGTTTACTTTATTAAACATTTCTTTCAATGTAAGTTGTTTAAGTTTTGCTTCGTTTTCATGTGATAATACTTTCTATTTTAATTCTATTAAACAGACATAATTTCTTGTTTCAGTTACAAAGTTCCGCCGTTCAAGTCTATGGAATTGCTGTGTCAAGGAACATTCCGACTAATTTATCAATCGAAATTTTTTTGTTTTCAATAACCTCTGTCCACTTTTCTTCGCTATCGGAAGCGAATTATAATGACGAGGAACTTGTTTTATTTAAATCATATCAAAGACGGAGCATATCGAGATGAAATACTACATTTGGTAAGGAATTATAAGCAAAATAAAATAAAAACATCTGCGCTGAAGATAAGGATAGTGCTGACAAATCAACTTCCAATTCATTAGGCGCCCGCCGCTGAGCAACGTGAAATTGATAAACAGATTTCGGATTTCAAAACATACTTTCGCTTTAGATCCTTTACATATTAACAAATATATATCGGAAATTCTATTTGATATAATCGAAAGTTTAAGCTTACTTTTATAAAATTGCTCTTACAGTCTGCAAAAAATAATAAGCCGGATGCAGTTCGAAAATTAAGGAACAACGCAATCATCAACATTAACTGAAATAGATAATTAGATAATTTTAGCTTATACGTCCATTATACATAAAATGCGCACGCGAAAACGTATTCTGCACTTGCGCACACTCATATGCGCAGTCGTAAAAGGTCTTACGCGCACGCGTAAACGCCTCTGCGCATGTGTCAACGTGGCGCATGCGCAGAAAGTTTTTAGTTTTGATGTCCGGATTATAGATCATTCCGAATTATGGGTGTCCGAATTAACGACTTTTGACTGTATAAGTTTATCGAATGGAAAGACTCTGGCAACTAGAGCCACCAGATTTTGAAAACATGAAATTCTGCATGAATATGTGCATCTCGAAGTTCGAAATTTTAAACTCCCATTTTTTTAGTGTAAATATCACTCAAATTTAACGAATTTTATATTTAAAAGGATTCATGGAATATTATAATAATGATCCATGATATATTATAATGATGATTCATGATATATGTTATTTCCTCATTGTTATAATGATACATACATTTTACGAATTTTTGAATACAAGAGATTAAAATTTGAAAGTTTTATACAAAAAAAGTATGAAGTAGTATCCATTTCGAAAGCTCGCTTGTATTTCTCTGAGAGAACTAAACCAATAACCAACCAAATAACTACATCCTCGCAGAGCCGGTACTGTCTGTGAAGACTTTCGAGCGAAAAGCCATTGCGTTTTCGTGCAATCTTTTAAGGCGTGATTTAAAAATGTTTACTATCCTGGTTGCTGGAAAACCGCAGGTATCAATGTATTTAAAAAAATCCTGGAAAAAAATCCGATCCACCACATGAGCTACAGGTCCTCTGTCTGCTATCTATTGTCGGGAAACTATTTCAGAAAGTTTTCTCAAACAAGTTAATAGCATTATCAATGAATACCAAATCATCATATATGTGCAGTTTGGTTTCCAACCAGGTTCATCATTTCAGATCATTTCACTACTCATTAAACTCTGAGAGTAGTTGAAATAATCTGTAAAAATTCTATTGTGTGAAGAATTTTCAAAACGGGATGAGAATGGTACTAACACGAAAGCTATGAAAATCATTAATTTCATTTAAAAACACAGACTATGAATAGAGCGTACAGTAAAGCAATGTAATTACTAGTGTAGTTCATAACATAGTTTGAGCTTACAGGTATTTTGCCAATTTTATACCTTTTAGTCTCTGAGTTTTATTCTTTTCTTTGCAGATCTATTTTCATCTATTCTGAAATTCCGTCCATTTGTCCTAGTAAGCCGATTGACTTTCATGGCGTACCTTGCCCAAGGTCCTGTAATTTGGACTCGATATGGATCTTTGAAAGAACGTATATTCTACAGTCATTTCAATATGGTAAGCTTAGCCTTTAATTCAACTACAATTATTTGTACTGCAGATTAGGATAGCTGTTGAATATTATGTTGAGTTTTATTAAAATATTTATCCTCATAAAAAAAAAAAAATGCTAGGCCAACACGGTTGAGTGCTTCCTATGCGAATTTTTTAAATAGACTTTTGTATTGGTTTCTAGATCTAGGCGCTCAAATCAGGACTTATTTCTTTTAAATATAGTTAGCAATAAATAATTATTTTAACCACTAAGCTACTGATACCATAATTGTTTTTTACTTAAATTTTATAGTTTGTAACAAGTTAGTACATATATAACTTATTATTAGCACAGAAACATATACTTATTTATTTACTGTTAAACAAAGAAACGTTTTCATATCATTATCCAAAAATTAAATAAAAATTTAAATTAATCATTAAAACACATTTAATAAATACTAGTAAATGAATCAAGCAGGAATTTCCTCATCTTATTGCGAGGGCCATGTGGGAAGAATGACCATTCTTGTAGTTTATCTTCTTGAAACAATAAGCTTGCAATTACTGTAGTACTTGAATGGGATTTTGATTCCCTTTAGAAAAGTCATTCCATTTCGGTACTTAATTATGTAATTTTACGTGGTATTTTGGAAGTTTTCAGTAGCTTAAAAAGTAATTAATTAGTAATTAATTTTAATGTGACATTTTGTTAGTCATCTATAGTTATAGTACGGCTAAGATTTAAAAAGAAATTAATATTATGACTGAAATTTTAAAAGCAGCACTGAATAATTAAAACATTTCAGAAAAAATGGCGCTATATTACACAAAAATTAGCAACGAATAAATGAGATGTAAATAAAATCGTATCATTCAGAAACAGTAATAAGACAACGGAGAATTGCTCTGAGAGAATACTTTTGGGAGGGAAGAAATATCTTCATACTAAAAAAGTCTCATTATAATTTGTGTTTCATGTTTTTTCATTAAAATCAGCATTATATTTATTAAACTGATTGATCTATTTTCAGCTCTACGAATACATGGGAAATGTGATATTATCACTGGCAATTGCTTTTGCTGGACATTTATTGGTGGAAGCTCCATTTGCGAACCTGGAACGACTGCTCTTTTCTAACATGCGGACTAATAGCAGAGAGGAAACACCCACTAATCTTTATCAAGTGAAAACAAGCACTGAAACGTCCTCTAAAATCCACAATCCAACTCTAAAAAGTCATAGTAAAAGCACTGAACAAACATGACATCGATTTTGATACAGATGATATTTTCATTATACTCATTAAGCTTTTCGAACTGAAGTAATTCAGTTAACTACTGAAGAGTTAAACAGTAGTCCAATAAGCTTAGCCATTATATACGAAAAATCTCAAGAAATACCAAAGGAAAGCACGTGTGAGTGGACTGATATTCATAAGCCCCATTTTCCCATGAATTCCATGTTCATAAATAGTACAACGCCCATTTCATGTATATAACTATGACAAGTTATACATGGTGGGTATTTTTCATTTCTAGAGATTGAATAAAAACAAGTGGTTAAATTATCTCATCGAGCTTTTATTTAACAAAATAAAATAATATAAAAATAATATCGTCGACATGCTTATATTCGTATCTTCGATACTGTTGCAACTGACCAATCTATATTAAAGAACATGTTGACACATGATGCACGGAATCGCGGTTAGCTCATCGCAAATATTTTGTTTCAATTGGGTTAGTGCTGTCGGTTTATTTTTGTATACATGATGTTCAAAATCGTTCAATAAAAAATGATAGAAAATGTGGACTCCTTGGAGACGATGGCATGGCACCTCAATGGAAAATTAATTTATTGAGAAAAATTTTTTCAACTATGTATATGAACATATTTGAACGCATCTTGTTGATCCAGGTCCTCTTATTATAGCTTTCAAATTCTGCTCAATTTCAAGTGGGTTGCACACTTGCAAATCTTCCTAATGTCAAATGGTTTGTAGGTTCTCTTCGCTTTGCTGAGACCTTGTCCGACCTGCTTGTTTCATCACAGTTTTAGCGGAACCAGTTTGTTCGAATTTTCTGACGCCTAAATTAATTAAATTAAATTGAGGTATTGACTAATACTTTATAAATCGTGTAAATTGTAGTGCAAGGGATGTAGGCACTGTACAATAACATAAGAATCGTTACAAAAAATGCGCTATTCGCCTTCGAAGTCTTTCATGGTGACTAAAATTCCCAGAACTAACATATTGCTAGCAAACACTTGTCAGAGCTGGATTTATCAAGCAAAAGAAGCAAAATAAGAAGGTGCTTAGGGTCTCAAGGGAAGAGGGCTGTACGAAAAGGTACTTAGGGCCTCAAGAAAAGGTGCATAGATCTCATGGGAAAGAGCACCGCAAGAATTTGTCCTTACCGTTACAAAAACTGAAAAAGAAATAGTAATAATAATTTTTAAAATTGAACGTAATACTGTAAACATATATGACGGGGCACCAAAATTTTTCAAATGTATAGGAGCTCTAATCTAGAGCTGCCATCTGCACACCTCTCTCCCAAATGTTTTCTGTTTTTGTTTCAAGAAAAACAGAATTGCCACTTTTAAAAATTTATAACCCACCTTGTTATGCTAAGATGTACTGTAACCTGAAATGAATTTCCAACAGTTAAATTTTACGTATCTCTAGAAATACTGCAAAATGAAAATAAATCATTTAATCCCATTCCATATTCAACACGGACATATCATTAGAAAAATATTATTGACAAAGCAGTGATTAATTGCATGGAAAGGTACAAAAGCAGTGTAAAAGAGAAGTGAAAACAATAAAAAAAGAATTATTGATATCCTTTGCCACATCGTCGTCAAAGGATTCAGTGTAATAAAAGAAGTAAATGTATCAGCCTGTTTCTGAATTAATAATGGCACAAATTTATGAATTAGATAACAAAATTTTAAATATTTCAATTAACCCTAATAAAATAAATTTTCATAATAAGTAACACAGCAGAAAAGCCTCAGGTTACTGGGAAGTAGTGCCTAAGCAATAGAAAGCCAGTATAACAACCTCTGCATCAAAAAAAAAAAAAAAAAAAGTATCATATAATTTTTACTTTGTATTTATTTATCATTATATTTAGATATACATGCATTTATAATGTTTCACTACACAGATTAAGCACAACATCCCTTGCTTAAAAAAAAATAAAAGAACTGTTTAAAGGGTGAAGTAGAACTTTCAGAGCTGTCTATTAGTTTTGTTAAGTATATGTTCAAATGCTCTCTTCGATGTACTCTTTCTCAATATACAATATGTAAACTATTGTACAATTAGCACTGATATGTCTTTATCAAAGCTCAGAATATTTTATGATCACTGCTGAAGTAGTTACAGATACACTTTGCAAAATATTTTTCAAACAACATTAATAATGGGTAAGACTAAAAATTTGTTATACGTTGCATTTTTTTTTTTTTTTTAACTGACACTTCTCATAGCCATCTGTAGCTGGACTTATCAGCTAAAATGCCACCACCATATTTAGTAGGGAGTCTAAGGACAAAATGGGAAGATTTTGTGAGAAAAATAGTTCCGAAAATAGCCGATAGAGGAAAATATTGCGCCGTTCCAGTATACACATATGAAAATTTACATGAAACGCAGGTAAAATGATTGAAGGCAGTTAAAATTTATAAATCTTTAAAAGTTTATATAAATTGGCTTTCCCATAACTTTCATCAACACTCTTCTGTATGCAACCTTCTTTTATGATTAAAAGATTTAAAATAATTTCTCTGCTATATTAAAGGTCATTTCTTCCTTCAAATCAAGTCTTTCATAATTTCTGCTTCACAGAAGACAAGAATTATTTACTAACATAAATTTATTTTCCTGGTGTATGATAAGTAGATAAACAGTGAAGATATTTTTTTCAATCTGCTTATAATTTAATAAAAAATAATTAATATTCTTATCAATAAAGTAATATTAATTTTCAAATGGAGTTATGAAACAAAAATATACGGAAAAATTACCTTTCACGTCTACAGCACATTAACAGGTCATATCAATATTATCATCATGAATTTAAAAATTCATTTCAATCATATGATAAAGTATAAAATTTTCTAGAACTTTTTGTCATAGTTTCGAAGATTATCTGTAATTCAGAATATTGACAGGGAGCCTAAATAATGTCATGTCATCTTCCATCCAGCATTATATTTCTGTGATGAATGTGGTATGAATATATTATTTAATACACCATTAAAATTTATAATTCTGCATCATTTTATATATTGCTCTATTACTTTAAATAGCCTTTATTACTTTCTTTTTTTTTCATTGTTCTTTGTGTGTTCGATAATGTTAAAACAAAAAATCATTATTAATTGGACGGAACAGTAAACACAATTATTTCTAGCACAGCGTTTTGAAAAATATCTCCCAAATTGTTTCATTTAAAATGAATTAATTAGTCGGTATTCTCCCAACTGGTAATTTACTGAATTTCGTTAGTTAGTTAATCAGTTTTATACTAGATGGCGCCACATCTTTTTCAGAATATTTTATTTTTAAAAGCAGTGCTTATCGTTTCGCTCACATGCAATTCTTCGGTTGAATTTGCGAAGACTTTTTAAAATGTTGTCTTCAAATTTTTGTTATCAGTTTACCCAGATTTATCTCAAACAGAAATTTATTATTTTTTAGTTTACATTATAAAGAGTTGAAATAAGAAGCCAATGAAATAAATTCATTTTGTCTTTTTTTTCTAATACTATGCTTACAAACAACTAAATATAGCAATACAAAATTGAGTGTATTTTGTCCTACCTCTTATGTATTTCATTCACTATATGCGCGAAATTCTTGATATGATCTATATCCATAACATTTACGGGCCACTTTTAGTTATATTAACATCGAGTAATTCATTGAAATATTCAAACCAGCTAAGCTAAAAAAAAAAAAAAACCTTTTATTCGCACCCCGCAGCCGAAAATACAGCAAAAGAAATAAATATTTTACAAAACGTAACAAATTATTTATATTAGATAATAATAAATATGATCATGCAAATTTGAATAAAATGGCAGGAAAAAAGTGTAAAAACTATTTTAGTGGCGCCACCTATCGATCTGTAAAATAACTACACAGTTAAGTAAGGTAGATTACCTACTGGGAGAATATAAATCAGCCTTTTATTTTCTCAATGTATATAAACATTGAGGCATTTTTTTAATCTGTTATGATATTTAAAATATAATAAACATTTCATTTTCTTATCAATTAAATAATACCAACTTTCAAGTAAAAACTTGCAAAAACTTTTATCATAATTTTCAAGACCATTTCTAATGTACATTTAGCATGTTAAATAATGCAATCCTCCATCCAAAAATAGTTATTCAAGTAAAATAATCTGGAGAAATGTTAGGCACATAATCTAATTAATTAGCATATATTTAATTTACTTTACATATTAGTGTAAGAAATATTATCAAATAAGGAAATTTGAACTTTTCTGTTTTAGTTTTTGCAAATTATTGAATTGCATTAAAAGTAAATTTAAGTTTTTATACAAATACCCATTATAATAAATATCAGATAAATAAAAATAATGTTACTTAATATTCATAACAGCGATTATTTTTATCCATAAATTACTCAAATGCATGCCACAGAAATTTGTTTCTTATTATCTTCTTGATTATTTCTCAAACACAAAAATATATGTGCCTAATATGTCCAAGAATGCAAATGCAGTTTACTTATTAGTTTAGTTAGTTTTAAATGCAATTTATCAATACAATTTTTATTTCATATTATTGTAGATATAGATCTTTATATTTAGGAGCCAGATTACTAAGATTAATCATTATTACATGCATAAACTAAAGAACGATCTAATCTAGTACTGATAATTCTTGATTATTGTATTCTTTTCCTTTTATTTCTTTTATTCATATTAATGAATAGCTGGAAATATATATTATCTACCTCAAAATATGGACAAAGAACTTTATTACAATAAAATGGATAAACAAGAAATGAATGTGCCAGTATATTTTTCCATTCACGCTTAACAAAATTCACAAAGAAACTGAAAAACATTGAGTACATTTTCTTTAAATTATAACAACATTTAAGCCATTTAAATGTTCACTATAGAAAGAACACAGTCTGCAATTAAATTTAAAATCATTAACTAATATAAAATTTTATAAATTAGCTTTCACTCCAAACAATTCTACAGAAATTTGTCTTGTAAAATAGTAATTTCAAGAGTATGCTACTCTATTGATGTTTTATACAAACAATGTAAATAAATTTACACCAGGATTACCAGAAATATATGTTCTTATTACCGATAAATCAATAAACATTTTAATGTTTATTCTGCAAAATAAAGAATGCACAGCTAAAGGTTTGAATGAAAAATTATTTATTTACAGATAATTAACAAGTGGTCGATGGAATACAATGATAAACTTGAGTTGCATCAAATTTGATATTGCACACAATTTTGAATGTGAACTATGCAAATGATTCACAAATACAAAAAGAAATAGAAATGATGCTCATTTAAGAAAACTATGTATAACATATAAAAGTTTATAAGTGTAAAAAGAAAAGCATTCTTACTGAACAAATAAAGTTTTGAAGAATGCATATCAAAAGATGTTAAATAAATTTATCAGAAAATATATCTATTTAATCTCAAATGCACTTATCACATACTTATTTGTAAGTCATATATTTTTAGAATAAAAAAATGAATTTATCTTGGCAAGGAACTGTGATAACAGCAAAATCTCACACATTTATAAGACCATGATACACACAAATTTAATGAAAAAATAAATAAATTAGGGACTGTAATTGGGACATACAATTTACAATAGTTTACAATTCCACCATTTTTAAACTATTAAACATTATCTAAAGATATAACAATGCATTTCTACTGAATCAGTTAAAACTGTAATACAGTCAATTTTCTGCAAAATATCTCCTGGCAGTAAATACTTTTTTTTTTTTTTTTTTTTTTTTTTTTCATGAACACTTTTCACTGAAAAATTACACTGGTGAAAATTAACTTTTATTTCAACAATTTGAAACATTTTTTTAGGAAAAATCATGAACTTCTGTAAAACACCTTTACAGTAAAACCATGAATGAAATATCAATTTTAAAAATAATACAAATCCTATTAAATGCATGTTACATTATGTTACAAAATATTATGAGTATACTGCTATATAGATTAAGATAAATTATTTTTCTCAAATACTTTTTTAAAAGAATTTTAGAAGTATGACACATTATAAAAAATAAAACAGAAAACTATGATTTTGTTTCTTTTGTGACAGAAAAAGTAATTAATTAATTATTGTTTATTAAAACCACACATATATAGAATAAATTTCATTTTTAATTTCAGCGCGAATTGATGTGTATTTGATAAAAGTGTATAAATAATAAATTCTATTCAATATATTTGGCAAAACTGTTCTTCTCTTAGATAATGAAATAGAAGACAAATAATTTAAAGATTATGACTAGAAAAAGCACTATTTTCAGGAACATAAGGCATCAATTACAAATATGCTGCATTATAAGATAGACAATTTTATAAACTATATAGAATATACATATGCACTTCAAATCAGATATTCATTAAATTAGAGATTAAGAATATAATTACAAGTTATTGATTAGTAAATTAATTTTAATTTAAAAAAAATACATTTGTACTTTTAGAGCTATTAAACAATTTTTGCTTCCTTCACAAATAGCTTATTGCTGTTATTATGGTTATATTATTATCTGAAAAATTTCCAAAAACAGCACTGTATAGATAAATATATATTTAAAATATAAAAACCGCTATAAAATACTCTGTATAAGAATTGTTATCAAGTAAGTACTTGATTCTTTTTCTTTCATCTTCAGAGATAGGAAAAACAAATAACAGAATAAAATATTTTCATCAAGCCAATATCTAGTTTTTCTAACATTATTATTAGATTAAGAAAATTGTGATGCTTTGAAATTTTTAAGAGTTAATACTTAAAAAAAAATACTCTTAAGGCTACTTACTTTTTAAGTCAATAAGTAAATATAAATTAATGTAAAGCTTTAAATAAAGCACTAAAATAAATATGGCAGTTCTAAAAATAAATTTTTTTGGCCCAATTTTTTTTTTAAAGTAATGCAAAAGAATTTTTTTTCATTATATTTTCAAGTATTGTTTATGCAATTTACCACACTCAATTGCTACATTAGTATACTTAACTTGTTATCAGAGCTCCATAATGTTTGTAATTTACTATCCATATACATTGCTGTACTGCTTTTAAATAATAAAAAGGAGAGCTGTAAAAATTATAGATATGCATTCTCATTAATAACCTGAAACAAAACTCTTTCTGTACATCTCAAAATGGCAGTGCATAGTAAATGACAAAAATAAACTGAGTATTCTACGATTTGCATTAATAATGACTTGAAAAAGGGAGAAAAATCTTTGGCTAAAAATCAAACAAACAGAGAACTATAGATAGCACATACACTAACAGAGAATACGCATCAACAGTAAGACACAAGGAACAAATACTTTTAAAAACTCTAACTCTCATTTCTTAACAAAAAATTTCAGTTTTTAACTAAAAATATATTTTTATTTATAATGCATTACTTATAATAGCATTTAAGGGAACATAAATTAATTTCCTGAGTATAAACAAAATGCTACCACAGCAGATCATAAAAAATAATGGATTCACCAAGGTTTAAATTTCAGATTTCTAATACAAAAAGGGCAGAACAGAAAACAGGTATAAATAGAAAATATTAAACAATGAAGAGACTGTTTTAAAACAATAGCAAGATGAATTAAATTTAAAGTAAGAAAAAAAAAAAAAAAAAAACTACGTTGCACAATTTTATGATGACAAAGGTGTTATGCATATGCATATATAAATTCAGCTAAAATTGTTTTAAAAACGTCTACAAAATAAAAGTCTGGTTTATAGTTGAAAGTTGCCCTGTACAATCGCTATTTCAGCTTAACATGTTTAAAACATTAAATATTTATTTAATCATTACATTTTATACAGAAGAAAGTTAAGTTTTAACTTAAAAACATGGAATTTTATTTGCAGTAAAGACTTAAATAGCATCATCAAAACAACTAAAATTACATAATTATATCAAATTTATTTACATTGTAGAGAAACAAAGAAAAGCAAGCTCATGTAAATTAATAAATGCAGGATGTTAACTTAAACAATTTAATTCTTACAGTTTTAATTTAAATTTCATAACTTGAAACAAATTCAGTTTTAAAAGCATGCACAACACATTAAAAATATCTACCAGAAAAACGAAATTGTTTTACATTCATAAACAAAAATGCAACATCTACAAATTAGGAAGCAAAACAGATATATCATAAAACAAAATACTACTTGTTATGAAAGTAATTTTTGAATGATATAATATTTTTAATGCAGTTTTACAATTATAAATTATGCAGCTTGCATTTAAGTAATTAGTAAATTATTATTTTTGGTATTCTAAATTGTGTGGCAAGTTTATATAAAAAAAAAAAAAAAAAAAAAAAAAAAAAAAAGAACAAAGAGAAAATTCTTATTCTATACAGGCAGATAGCATTATATAATAAAATTTGATTCAAAATATTGCACATTAATTTCTACAGCAGCAATATGAGAACTGTCATATTCAAGAACTTTCAACTGCTATAATTTAGAAATTCCTTTTGTTCTTAGTATTTGAACATTTACAAAAAGTACTATTTATATCTACTGGGTCATATTTTGTAAATATTTAAAATAGATAAGTATGCAAATTTTTCACTTTAATGTAGTATGAATATAAAAATAAAATTTTTTAAAAAAAGTTAAAATGTAAATAAAAAATAACATGAAGTTTGTACAGCAAACATGAACTGTATATATAGCTATATGCAAAAAATGTAATAAATTTTGCTCGTATAATAAGTAGTATGTGGGTAAGGTATGAGATTCTAAAAAAAGCAATATTCAAATTATTTAATATAAAAAAATTAAAATACTTGTTCCTTCAAATTACTTTGGCACTGATGTTGGCATACATGTTGGATTAAAAAAAAAAAAAAAAAAAAAAAAAAAATTGAAATGGATTCATTAACATGTATGTTCCCTTTTTTCTCCTTTACTTAAAAATGCAAGGAATGCTAATGAAAATGTTTCTAACAGTTACACAAACGTCACTCGCATAATGAATGAATACAAAAAATTTTCGAACAAAAAGTTCTATCAATAGTAAACAACTTTTGAACACTGAAATTAAAAAACATTATCATCATTATCAACAGTCAGCTACTATAAAAAGAGTATATTTTTCTCTTTTTCATTTAGTTTGGCCAATGACAATTTTTCAGTGCTTTTAATGAGCATGGAAAAAGGAATTTTATACAACAGTGATACAAATGATAAAAAAGGAACATTTTGTTTAAACAGAATTTTTACATGGAAATATGGATAATGAATAAATTTTTTGTCACTTGACATATATAGTAACTCTCTGAAGTAACCTTAAGCACTTGTGATAATTTTTCAAAATATGCAGTCATTTTTTTAATTACATTAAAATTATACTTATGGTTCCAAGACAAGACGGCGATAACATTTGTCTGGAAGAGCATTTCGAATGTCCGCTATGTTAGCAACATCTTTTTGCATTTTTGCAACTTCTTCAGCATAATCTTTTGCCCACTGGTTTTGTAATTCTCGAGCTTGCCGCAGTTCTCCCATACGAGTATTAAAATCTGCTTCCTTGTATTCTTTTTCAGCATCTTCTAACCTTTTTTCCAATTCATCTAGCAGAGTTTCATCAATTTCATCTAAGCCATCTGTGAAAATAAGAAACATAATTTTAATGTAAAGTGAAATTTTTTTTAAAAATAAAGTTAATGAAATTATACATCCAATGTTTTAAAATTTTATGCAAAAATTCCAAAAGCTTAAATGAAAACAGACTTACAGCTATAATACATTATTATGAAGTTAACAGAAAATGCATTACTACTACTAAAATAAAATAAATCTTATATAAGTGAATAGTTGTATGCATATTTGAAAAATGCTTTTGTACAATTCTACACAGCAGCATCATATTTAGCATGAATATTCTAAAACACTCTAAAGAAAATATTATGGAGTCTCCACTTTCTAACTATCCCTAACACTAAGAGATGACCATCAAAATAGACAAGGAATATCATTAAAATCTTCTATGCATTTGTAACAATAAAACTGTTAAATCCCTTTGAAATGAGATGGTGTTGCTGTTGCCACATAACTATTAAAAAGAAAAGAATGTTTATTTTTCCTTGTATAATGCTGGTGATACGAATGAAAGTAAAAACTCAAACAGCCAATAGTAATTTTACAGCATTATTAATTATTCAATCAAAATGCACCGAGAACCAAAATTAACTCAGTCTGAATTAAGATTTCATCCTGAATACAATGCACATACTTTCTACACTTTGGCCTAGCTGGACTGCTACCTGCTGCTTTTTTCTTATTCACTATGGATCAACATTCTATACAATCAAAATCCTTGCTGTTCATTACAAACTCAACATTGTATTTCAACGCCATCAAATCCTGCAAAGTCTTTTTTATTATATATATTTTCTCCTTTTTCCTTACTTTTAATAATAAATAAGCCTTTAATATATGATCACTTTCAATAAATGCTACATATTTAATCAGTATTTGTTAAAATTTATTTATTAGAATAACTAAAATGATAATAATATTTCTTATTTAATGCATCCCCATATTCAGTACTTACCTAAAGCCCTTAATATATCATCCACAGTCTCTAATGCATTTTTAACTTTAACTGATGCATCAGTTGCGCTAGTCTTTGCTTGATTTGCACGTTCCAAAGCCTAAATTAAAGAACAGCAACAGATGAATAATGAAAATGCCCTTAATTCATTAAAATAATATAAGAATAAATGAATAAATATATACATACAACTTTTAATTTATAAAACATATTCCATATCAAACTAATGAAGATTAAAATACAGAATTTTATGTAAAAAGCAAATAAATAGCAATTTTATAAACTTATTCCTAATTTTTATATACAGTCAAAAGTCGTTAATCCGGACACCCATAATCCGGAATGATCTATAATCAGGACCTCAAAGCTAAAAACTTTTTGCGTATGCACTGCGTTGACACATGCGCATAGGCGTTTACGCGTGCACGTAAGACCTTTTACGACTGCGCATATGAGTGTGCGCAAGAGCAGAATACGTTTTCGCGTGCATGTTTTATGTATAACGGACGGTATAAGCTAAAATTATCTAATTATCTATTTCAGTTAATGTTGATGATTGTGTTGTTCCTTAATCTTCGAATTGGATCCGGGTTATTAATTTTTTGCAGACTGTAAGAGCAATACTATAAAAGTAAACTTGAACTTTCGATTATGTCAAATAGAATTTCCGATTCGGAGCTCCCAAAGGATCGTACAAACGAAAGTATGTTTCGATGTCATTAAACAAAAAGTGGAATTGCTGCAAAAATAGATAAACATGAAGAATGTGACAGAGAGGTTAGTGAAAACGAAAAAATTTCAATTGACAAGTTATCGGTTATTCTCGGCACAGCAATTAATGGGACTTGAACAGCGGAACTTTTGTAACTGAACAGAAATTATGTCTGTTTATAGAATTAAAGAGAAAGTATTATCACATAAAACGAAGCAACTTAAACAACTTACATTGAAAGAAATGTTTAATAAAGTAAACAAATAAATATTAAGCTTTTTTTTTTTGTAAATTTTGATACCCTTTAGATCATAATTGTTCTTTATTTCATAAATTACGGTTTCATATTTTTAATTTTAGAATTTCTGCATGCCATCTTACGAGATTTAAACTGATGATCTATAATCCGGAAAAATCGATAATCCGGAATCGCTGAAGTCCCGACGAGTCCGGATTAATGACTTTTGACTGTATACATTAAATAAAAAAATTGATAATTTCTAAAGCTTTAATTGAAATTCCTACGTTTTTCTCTAAAATTTCTATTTTACTTCCTAAAACTCAAGAGAAATAAATAGTTTGAGTACTTCTATGAAAACATACGGCTACCTGAAAAATCATTTACAGCAGTCTTCAAATTAGGGGTCATGACCCAATTTGGGGTCACAAGATTGCTGAAAAACTGCATAATGGGGGTCCAAACATATTATAATATAATAAAATAAATATTTCTGAGAACTTGGGGTCTCATTTCAGCTTGGGCACCTAAAATGGGGTCACGATCCCAAAAGTTTAGAAACCCTTGACCTATAGTCAAACCACACTATAGCTAACCTGGCTTATAACAGATGAACTTTCGGGTTCTGATTAATTTCTTATACACTTAATATTATTTCATATAGTTATTGTGAACTTTCAAATGTGTAAAATTAGATCATAATAAACTTTGCAAATATCATGCAAATATTTTTCAAACTTTTCCAGAATTTCTGCAGCTTTCAACTAAAAAATTACTAATCTTTCAATTCATCCTGCACAGGATATTAGAATAATAAAACACACCTTTAAGTAACTGTTCTTTATTTTCGCTCTGTGTTTTAAACCAAAGACTATGCAAGGTGGGTGTAGCACTCAATCCTTGGAAAACCAAGACACACAATAAACATTACTTAGGAGATTATCTCTGACGTGCACCAAGTCAAAAAACATTGAGACATTGCTCCATCTAGATAAAGAGCTTAATTCAAGTTTTTTTTTTTTTTTTTTTTTTGAGCTATCAGACATCACTCTTCAAGGCTGACGTTTATTCGTAATTGTAAATAACATTGAGACATTGCTCCATCTAGATAAAGAGCTTAATTAAAGTTTTTTTTTTTTTTTTTTGAGCTATCAGACATCACTCTGTTCAAGGCTGATGTTTATTCGTAATTGTAAATGCCCATTTCACCTTTGTTTTGCGATATCCGAAAACCTTTAAAATTCATGACTATCATCCGTGCACTGAGACAATTAAGCCTGAATTGTATTAGTTTAGTTATTTATTATGCTTATGTCTATTTTTTTTTGCACACGCTTAAGGCTTATAAGAGTTCTTAATAAATAAATTCCCACATATACTTAAGCCTTATTGGGGGCTGGTGCTAGATATCTTACCGCCTGATGCAGTCTCTGAGGGTCATAAACTCTGCAACTTGGTGCAGCCATACGAGCCCTGGCGCTAGTTCTGGGTTTATGTGAATAACAAATCAGTTATTCTTAATTCAAATAGCCCTAAATGTAATCTTTGTATCATCTTGAGTATCATCAACAAAATCTATTTTCAGCATAAGGAAAGAAATTGTTGGTAAATCTTTCCTCATCAACATTTTTTAGCAAATTTAACTTAAATCTGTAATCATGCCAAGCGAAATGTCAACATAAAAGGTTACCATACTCCTTTATTATTCAATTACTAACACAAAAAAAATTGTTTAGGCATTGCTACACGAGACATTACTCAAGTTGTCATGTTTTGATAAACATGCGGTGATGAAAGTATAACAAATAACTATTCGCCAGGTTGGCATTAGATTAATGATGCATCTATGTGGAATATTTTAGTTTGAGATGTGTGCCAAAGCAGATAAATATGCAGCAACGGAGCCAAATTACTGATCGTACAAGTTTATGCTAAAATGATTGTTTCTTCAATAACAAAGTATTTTATTTAGTGTCGAAGTGAAATTAAGAATCGTGACTCTCCAGATGTTTTATTATGCATGGAGGGGGGAATCAAATGTGCATGTGTAAAGCCGACGAGAAAAAACGTTAGTGGTGGTTTTGAGGTCCGGATTTTAGACCATTCTGGGTAATGGACGTCTGGATTTTGGACTTTGTACTGTATATATAAAATAAGAAAATCCGAAAGCTTTCAGGTTTTTATATGAAAAAAGAGGATTTTTTTAAACATTTTGTATGTTACCTTTATTTATTAAATATCATGTTCTTTGCACTTAAAACATAAAATTAAATTCAACAGCAATATCACAAAATAAATTTTTAAAAAGCATATCTTTAGAATTTCCAATGCACAGTCTTGCACACTGGAAACAAAAATGTTTCCCCCCCATACAGTGTTGCCACTAATCGCTTTGAAATCATTGACTTTGTTAATTAAAAAATCATAAAGTTTTACACAATGTGAAATAGATAATAAAATAAATTCCAAATTTGGGCTTCAAGATGCCCATATTCAAGTGGAGGACAATGTTATTCAAAATTTGATGTCTCTAGGTGCCTTTGTTTTTTCACAGTGTAAGAAACATACATGTATTCATGCAGATTCTTCATTACTTAATTTCTTTAAACATAATGCAAGGCTCTAACATTTGGTGGCAATAATTTGAAAAGTGGAATGCCATTTATAGTGAACCAATGCAAAATGCCAAAATGAAATTAATAGTCCTTCTGAGCAAATTCTCCCTTTGGGCTAAAAAAAGTGACAAGTAATATTATAATTTATTACTTTTGTCATTTCTAAACCGAAATAAAACATGAACAAAAATCCCATTGAATTTTATTTCCTGTCAAATTAAGAAAATATTGAAATATTTAATAAACATACATTTTAAATTTATGATTTAAGTAACAACATCATATAAAAGTAAAACTATAGAATACTGAACCTCTTTGGTTAAAGCTTCATCATTCTCAGCTTGCTCCTCATATTCTTTCAACTGACCTGCAGTATTTGCAACATCTAGTGACAGCTCATCAGCTTGATCACTGAGTTTATTTGCTTCCAATTTAGTATTTTCTGCCCCTTCTGATATAGCATTGGCATGCTAAATAAAAGATGGATGGATGATAATGCAGTTAATATTGGACAGTCATATAATAAATTAAAATTATTTTATAATGAAGGCATAGTTGGATTGTAGCTTGCAAACTATATGCAGCCTTTTGGTTTCTAAAATGAGCTCAAATAGTAACGAAGAATAGTTTTATTTTCGTAATAGCCTTCCAACTTGAAACAAATCAACATGGTTTTTACAATAATTTGATTCTTTAAAATTATATTACATACAATTTTAAAATATTTCAAACTGCAAGAGATTTTTGCAACTTATTACTGTGATGATATTACATTTAAGAAACATAAGGATGAGCAGGAAAACTGAAAAGGTAGATATATTAGTACACATCGTTTACTGAATGAAATTGAAATGAAAATGTTTAATTGTAACTTGCACGGAAAAGAACAAAATATATCTGATGATCCAGTTTACATTTAATGAATTATAATGTTTAAGGGTTAACTTTTATTTTTTAATATTAGTTCTCATGCAGGAAAAGTAAACTATTATTTTTATGGAAAAACCCTGCTAAGTTAACGGTCTATTTTAAATAATTTTTGTACATTAAACTTTTTTATTTCATGATTCATGAAAGGAAGATGTAATATTATAAACAAAAAAGAAAAAGGTTTCTGTTTGAGTAAAGAATAATGACTCTGAAGAGCTCTCTTTTCCATCTCATTTGTTCCAGACTTAAGAGAAAAAAATATTGCTAGTTCTATTTTCCAAATCTCATTCATTATCATCAAAATATATTTATTATTCTTTACTCAAATAAAAATATTTTTTTTGCATTGTAAATAATGCTACATGTTCCTTTTTTAATTAACTCCTATTAAAACCGGTAGACAATTAATTGGGAATTGAAAGGAAATACTGGTCTCAGTCCAAAGAAAGAATGTTCAGTATATCATATAAAGTTTGCAAGTACAGCATATTTCCATAAATATATGAGAAAAAATAAACAATAAAAATTATTTATTTACATTTGTTGTGAGTAGCTACATTAACTATAATAAAATATGACACCATTATTAAAATACTTTGAAAACTTCTTTTCATTCAAAATTAATTTTACTTTAAGTGGCATAAATATCTAATTGTGAATTTTGGTGTATCTGCTTGTGGTGTTTCAATCTCCTTGAATTCTGACATATGCCTCTAATTAATATGAAATTTGACTATTTTTGCTATAACAAAATCTCTATTTTAAAATTTATACCTAAATATCTCTTTATTAAATAATGTAAATTGTTATAGATACAACTAAATTAGTTTGAATTGCTAAAATTAAAGATTCTATTGATTAAAGCTATGAATTACATAAGCATAAAATAACAAATAAACTAGGATATTAAAAAATGTTACAAAATCTTCAAAAAGCAAAAAAAAAAAAGAAAAAAAAAAAAAAAAAGAAAGAAAAAAAAGAAAAAAAAAAAAAAGGCATGTGTACAACCAATTTAATCCATTTTAGGGATAAACTATAATTAAATTATAAAAACTGTTGTTAATACACATTGTTAATTAATTGTTAATACACAATAAAAGTGTAAAAAAAGTCTCTCCCCCAAAGGTCACAGGAAATAAATCTCAGTGAAATGGCTAATGAGAACTTCATAGCAAAAATACATTGCCAGAAACTAATAATACATCCAATGCATAGTAAAAATAATCTGATTTCTGTAATTATAGACATATTACTAAAAAAAATATGGCTAACTTCATATAATTTTTATTTTAACTTCTTAAAACTCTGTCAAATATGGAGCAATTTTTACACTTAAACTAAATTCCTAAAAGTCAGCCAGAAAAAGAAAATATACTTTAATTAAAAAAAAAAAATTTATTTTTAAAATAGGATGAACTCTCTTCTAGCAACCATCTTCCCCATACATGAATGCTTCTAAATGTGACCAATATTTCTTAGAATATAAGCATCAACATTGACTGATCATTCTTCTAATGTGACCCAAATCATCAAAATGTGTAAGTACTTTATCAACTGAATCTGTTTTAAATGCTCTACAAATCCAGATGTGTATTTTCAACTCAAGAGGAAATTATATTTTTTAAAAAACAGTTTTTTTATATGTCTGTGAAGCATTAATCTTTACATCAATGTGATATAATTTGTCACACAAGGCTAGATTGTAAGCTCTTTAAATAAACCATTATATTCTTAAATTATGTACACCAATTCATGCATTATCTATCAGTCTTCTGAAGTATAATATCAATGTTCAAGCAGCATCAAAGTTATTTAGTTCTGCTTTTCAGGTTACTAAAATGGATTCTGTTTATTTCAGAGTTGACAACTCTATGTATGGTTCACAGTATGCATGTATTTCTGCAATTTCTCTCTCTCTCTTATTCCAAGCATAAATCTTAAGTGATTTTAGTTTGCAAAATTAAGCTCAGATTGACTCTGAGTGACATGAGCTTCTCTCACCCAGAGCCTGTATGACACATTTTTTAAAATGTGTAAGTATAAAAGTACAATAAAAATATAAAAGTATGCAAATAAAAGGTAAACTAAATAACAAAGAGAAAAAATATTAAAAAAGGGGGGAAAGAAAAAGTGGAATACTTACAATGACATTTAACTTATTAAAATTAATTTCTAATCTTTTTGGAGTGAACTGCCAAGGTCAGAATTACAGCTAATGGATATACACAAATGCCACCCCAGATGAGACATAGGTATGGTTTCAATTCTAAATTATTTTCACGATAACTTATAATTATTACTGTCTTATTTAAGCAAATGTCTTATTTAAGCAAAGAAGGTATTATTGCCTTTACTGCCATGTAATATTAGTATTTACTTCATCCACTATTTTGCGATATCATTATTAATGTTCCAATTTTTCTTACATTTCACATTTGAAATTTTTTTATTTTATTGTGTAATTTACTTTTTTTACTGCTCTTATTTCGGTGTTTAAACATTTTAATAATTGGCAGGCTGCCTCTAGATGAGGAAATTAGTATTATTAAATATTCTTTAACTGAAATAAGCAAATTTAAATCTTTATTAACTATTTTATATTACCACAGATTTACGCCACTCATAAATTCAACTATATATTGTTAATGCTTTATATTTGGACTTTTGCTTTTATCTAGTTTTTATTTAAATACATATATATTTTAATTTTATGACGCAAATCATACAAGTGGAAAAACATTTCCAAAAGTTAAGAACAAAACATACAGCAGATGCTTCCTCAGCTAATTCTTTTGCAGCTTGTGCTTCTTCTCTGGATTCTATAGCATCCATCTGAGCACCACTCAGAGCATTTTCAACATCAAGTGTCTTATTTACAGCTTCTATAATAATCCTCTCAATTTCAGGTATTTTTCTCACAGCTTCCTCGGCTCTTCCTTTGCTTTCCCGAATGAGCTCATCAAATCCTAAGAAATATACACAATAATTCTAACAAGAAATACAGTTTTGGTTAGCAGATCACCAACATATGATAACACAGAATGCTAACATAGATATGATAACATACGGCAGTTCAGTAACTTACAGCAAACAGAGAGAAAAATTCAATGTTTTTAAGTCTAAATTTGCACAATAGCATCAGTTAAAAAAATGCATGAGAACATTTTGAGGTTGATTTTTAGCCTTTAATGTCATTCAGTGATATTCCTTTGTGATTTACCAGTGTATAACATTCTTTAATTTGCAATTTTGATACATTCATTATGCCAAAAGCATTTTCACGTGCACTTTTATTATTGTAGGATCATAATTTACTACACATACCCATAAATAAATACTGCACTAGAAATAATTTTTATTTTGTATTTATGCACATTATGTTATGAGTTGGCTATGTTACAATATATGAAGCCTGCCACTGTTTTTTGAACAACTGCCACTGTTTAAAAGTAACATAAAAGTAACTGCCATTGTTTAAAAGTAACATAATGGTTAAAGTCCTTATATGACCTCTGAGCCATTGATTATAGACTTAATAATAAAATTTTAATGATGCAAATATATGATTCTATGAATAAGATCTCTTTTAAAAAAATGGATTGAGATAAGAACTTTTCTGGTAAGTCTTCAAAACAATGCTCATTATTTAATCTATTAATTTCAAAAACTTTTAAGCTGATATACAACTTCTCTGAATCTCAAACTTAAGTTTAACTAAGTATAAAACTAAAACTAAGTATCTCATATGTAAAATTTTTTGGTATTTTAATTTTTAGAATTGGTACTAACTTTTACTAAATACAACTTTACAAGGATTGAGGGGATATATGAAAACTTAGCTTTTGTAATTTTAACAAAATTTCACTTTTAAATTTTAAAAAAGCCTCATGGCCTCATCATGAATATAGTCCTCATTCAGAGCATTTCTGCAATTGGAAATATATGTTTGCTGTCAATGATTGCAAAATTATAGGCCCACAGAAGCATCAGTGAACTCAGTGCACATTACAATACAGACAAAACACTTTCTTTTCTTATGCAAAGTGTTGAAAAATTGACTAAATGGTTTTATTTCTTTGGATGTTCAATCTTACATATGCACTTCCAATTATAAAGTTTCTCAGAAAAAGGTAGAGAATTTTTATAAAAAATAGTTTCAACACCTTGCCTGGAAAAGTACATATATACTTTTTGTGTGTGTGTGTATCCTATAGAGCTAAAAGTCTATTTTAGCAAAATATTTATTATGATTTAACGAATTAAATAAAAAAAGATTATATGCTTTACTTGGAAAAATTGTGAAGATATTTGAGAATATATTTATTGACAATATATTTATGAATTAGAATATTTGCCACACACGAGCCACATTAAAAGTTAAATTTTATATTTAAGGAACAGTCCCTTCAGAGATGATATTCTCATAAGGTTCTTTGTTTAGTTCAGAAAATTAGTAATTGGAAGTATATTTTATGGCAATTTTTTAAGAAAATGAACCATACATCCTTTTGTGCATACATTTTAATATGTAATTTTTCATGATTATAATTTTTTTTTAAATTTTCTAAACTATAAGTTAAAAGTACACTTTAAAAAATTACCTCTCAAAGTTTCAAGTGTCTGTTTGGCATCTTCTAGTGTCTTTTCGGCATCAGCAACTGCCTGTTTGGCTTTGGCAAAAGCTGCATCTACTGTTGCTAACATTTCATCTGTTATCTGCAAACATAACATGTAATGAATAGTTGAACAATAATATTTTAAATCATTAAAAAAATACAACAGACTGAAAAGCAGAACCTACATAAAAATTCATTCAATAGTTAAAATAATGAAAATAATTTTAGATTTAATTAATTTAATTAAAATATACAACACATCTTGATCTATGTAAAAGGGTGTTACCATGTTAGTAATAAATGTAGGTATTTTAGTTCCATTGTACAATTATTTGCAAATGTTAAAATTTCTAGATTATAAATAATAATTTGAAACTTTACAAGTTATCATACGAATTATAATTTTTCAACACATTTATCTTTCATTCAGTTGTATTACAAAATTTTTGAATGAATAAACAAGAAAAAAAAAAAAAAAAGTTTTGATACCTGCTGCTGTTTTTCTCCTGCTTTCAACAAATCTTCAGAATTCTTTACTTCCTCTGCAACTTTATCTAAGAGTTCTTGATGCTCTTCCATAATAGCATCAACTTCGCTTTGAATTTCTCTAGCCTATAATTATCACAAGAAAAAGATATATAATTACTGTAACAATGGAAACATGCTAAAACTCAGCATATGTAACAACTTCCATTTTAAATTAAAATATACAAATTAAATTTTAAACTTATCAAATATTTATCTAGTTATCCATCAAAAATGCTTGACAAAATTAAAATTTTTACTGTAATTTACACATATACTATCAGCATACTTTAACTAAAAATTAAAATTTTTACTGTAATTTACACATATACTATCAGCATACTTTAACTAAAAATTTAAATTTTTACTGTAACTTATAAATATATTATTAGCATATTTTAACTAACATATAATGTTTCATATTTCATTATTACAAAAATTAAAGCTGAATTGGAAGTTAAATTAAATAATTAAAACAATCCAAACTACTTTGGGACATGGGTGTAATTGAAAAGGTGATTATAGGAAGAGATGGACATGTTCGAGCGTGCCTCGTTCGCATGCCCAAAGGACAATTCAGAAGATCGATCCAGATGTTATATCCTTTCGAGATTTAATTTAAAACTTTGATATTATTTTTTTTATTATATTATTAATTATTATGTTCATTTGTGACTTTGATATATATTAGTATAGATTATTCTTTTATATTATTCATTTGTATATGTCGTACTATTTAGTATTAATCCATTATTAATTAATGTTGATATTGTTATGTAAGTTTGTGTACTCTTATTAAAGAGTAAAAGTGGGGAGTGATGTAGAAGAGAGAGATAGAGGGCGCTGCGCAGCCCGTATGTTTAGTTAATTAAGAGTTTTCAGCAGAGAGGGTTGAGAGGTTGATGAGAGTGGTTGAGAGTGGCATAAACTAGATACTTTGTAATCTGTGCTATATAATATTTGTACATAGTCTTCTCTTCATTAAATAGATTTAGTTAAAGGAAAGTGTCTTTGTTTGGCCAATAGAACACAAGAACCACCGATAATAGAAGATGTAAGTAAGTTATTAAAACTAACCCGCATACTCGGAAATTGCCGAATATTCTCATATAGTCGAGCGTAACTGGAAAAAAAGGAGGGGGGGGAGATTGTAGCCGTTCTTTAGATTTCTCGGCTAAATAAATGATTTTGACATTTTGATATGTGCATCATATAAAAATAGACCAACGGAACTGAGAAATATTCTGCTTAGAAAGAACAGTAAAACTCTTTTAAGTGTTCATAAATAAATCTCAGACTGAACATCAAAATTAATTATCTCTGCAAAATACCGCAAACGTTATTGCACAATACGTGCGGCGTGATTCTTCCATATGTGATATTACGCAATCGGAATCGGAATCAACAGCTGCCAGTATTCGGAGAATAAAGAACTAAATAAAGGAAAAGAAAGAGATTTACTAATCTGGGGTGTTTTTGATTCTAATTTTGAACAGACCGTTAAATTTCCGGAATAGAATCATTCTTCACTTGGGTTGGGTAGACCGCAAAGCTTTTAGTCCTATTCAATCCAGATTGGACAGTGACCAAAAAAAAAAAAAAAAAAAAAAAAAAAAAAAAAAAAAAAAAACCCGCTGCTTCAATATTAGAGATTTTGTGGAGAAAGGGGAGAACCTCCCAATCTCCGTACTGTATAATGTATTGGGGGGGAAAGGAAAAGAAATTATTCTGACTATTCAATTACTTTCCTTTTATATAAGCCATTCCGAATATTATTCTTTAGAAAGCTGTGTAAAAATAAACCCATTTTTGGAAGTTTATCTACACTTCAGCACCTACTGCAACTATATTATTATAAATATTCATACATATGCTCATAATATAAGCATAACAATCATAATAAACACAAATATGAACTGACCACGCAGAACGAGAATGTAAATTATTAAAATCTTGATAGAAATTCAAACGTGTGTAGTATTTGGGTGGGAGGAAAAGAATACCGAATGTACCGGAATTTCTATGGTTTTCGCAATTCTTTGACCAATAGAACGACGTGCACCTGTCTGTACTCTCACGCGCACCATAGGTTACGTTAATGCAGAGAAAGGGGGAAAAGCTATTTCCGGGAGTATGATTCACCATCTGACGTTCCATATTAGGAAGAAAAGTTGTTTATTTAGTTTCGGCTTTGGTGTGGAGGAAAAATGCACGTTCATTAAAAAAGCACTAAAAGCAAAAAATAAGCACTAAAAACAAAAAAATAAGGGCTTTAAGGACTTATAAGCACTTGTAAGGACTGCTACGAACCCTGTTAGAATTGCAGTTTTCCCTTTCCAATATAACTTTGGATTTAGCAAAATTTAACTACATTGTGCTGCTGTGGATTCTGATATACTTAATTCTGTTAGCAATTTTATTTTAAAACCTCCCGTTGCTGTAAAATAAGATATCCTAAAACAAAGATTGATTGCAATATATTCTGAAAATGAAACATTGAAAGTCCATACTCTGCAGTAAGATCTTGAGCTTGACAACCAGCATCCTTCTCAGTTGTTGATTCATATGTATGCTTTAGCCGGTGATATGGTAATTGAACCCTGGTTAAGATCTTTGTGGCTTGCAAGGTTCCCCAATATTACACAATATATTCTGGCTGCTCTTGGTAAAGATAATTTGAGTAAATTGGCTACAGTCGCTGATAAAATTATTGAGCTTGCATCTCACTTTTATGTGAATACAGTTATCATGCCAAGCCAAGTGAATCTGCAACAACCTTTTGTAATTTCAGGGTAGCACAACTGAGAAAGCAAGTTAATGAGTTAACCTCTGCCTTGGGATGTAATTCTCACAGTCCTAAGCATAAATTTTGGCATTCATACTTGCACAGAAGGTCAGGAGAGTGCCCTAATTGCACTAGTTATTATCTTTACTTTCATCTTTACATCACAGTTTGCTTTCAGTTTTGTTATTTTCTAACATAATCAATTTTAAATAATGGGTTAAGAATGATGTAAAATTAAATAAAATAAATGTAAGCCAAAGTTTATAATCATTTAATTAAAATGATGATAAATTTCATAAAAAATACATCAAATAAAATTGTCAGAATCTACAAAACTATTCAAATGGTATTTTGAATATACTTATTCTCAATGCTTATTGCTTTTGAATACCTGTTTGATAAGATCAGCAGCGGTTTGTTTCATTGCTTCAGTATTAATTTCAGGTACTGTAAGAGATGTTTCTCTTAAATGAAGATCCAAAGCTGCCTCTTTGGCTTTATCTGCTTCTTCATTTGCACTTTCAGCAAGTCGTTTCACTTGTTCTAACATGGCAGTAACACCTAATAATCTGAAAATCAATTAAATAAATCATAAGCAGTCAAAAGTTGCAAGAAATATTTAGTTACAAAAATACAAGGTTTTTCATTCTATTGCATATGTATTTTGCATAATATGTAATAAGTATTCTATATTACTCTTCTATAGCAGTCTTAGCAAGAAAAAGGAATTGACATGTTTTGCTTTGGCAAGAAACAAAATGCATATTTCTTCATCATGCATACAATAATATTTTTTCATAATGCATAGTAAAACAGAATGCCTATTTCTTACACTAATGAAACTTTTCTATGATAAAATATAAAAAATTTTTATAATTAAATATGTATGAGGTGTGACCCAAAAAAATGAGACTGTGTAGTTTGAAAATAGAGTGGAGTTGGCAACAACTGTTTTGGTGACATCATGCCACACATCTCCTCTATCCAAGCAGCCAGTTTTGACTTAACTGACCACGCCAGTGGGGAGCACTATTCATTGAGTGAACATGTGCAACTTCATTCTGCTAGAAAAATGTCTAATGTAAAAACCGAACAACGAATCAACATCAAGTTTCTTGTGAAACTTAAGAAATCAGCCACGGAGGAACATTTCAAATGTTATTCAAGGCTTATGATATGAAACTTTGTCTCATGCATGTGTGTTTGAATGGCATAAGTGGTTTTTAGGGGAAAGGAACAGTGTGGAAGATGATGAACATGCTGGGCATGGCATCCTCCTTATTCACCTGATTTGGCTCCATGCAACATTTTTTTTTTTTTTAATTTCCTAAAGTTAAATTTTGCTTAAAGGGAACCCATTTTACCTCAGCTGAAGAGGTTCAGACAAAAACGGAGAGTCTCCCAAAGAGCCTTCCAAAAACCTCGTTTCAGAACTGTTACCAGCAATGGCAGCACTGAATGCAGAAGTGCGTGAATGCTGAAGGGAACTACTTTGAAGGTGGTAATGTCATGGAGAACTGATTCTGTAAGTACAATGATTTATTGGACCAGTCTCGTTTTTTTTTTTTTTTTTGTGAGTGTGTGTGTGTCACACCTTGTTTGTAATATGTGTGTTCTGTAATTATTTTTCATTGTTCAGTATTGAATATGCATGTTTTAGTTTTGGTAAGAAATAACACTGCTATTCCTTTGTGCATATACACATTGCTTATGTTTCTTCAGCCAAGAAAAATTTTCTTGTTTAAAATACAAGTTTTCATTGTTAAATATTTAAAATGCTTACTATTTTCAATCTGTCCCCAATGAAAAAAAGATTCTATAGCCAGAGAGTACAATATTTACAAGAATTAACAAAAATGGAAAAAGGAAAGGAAAAAAAAGTATGCCTCTACATTACTTAAAGGTGTGTCCATGCATTATTAGCACAGAACTCAGCAATGATTAGTGGCCACCAGAAAGTGTCTTAAAAATTAATTTCCATATATACGTTGTTTATTTTAAATAAACTGCTTAAGAACTGCATTAAATAAAATTATAAATATAAATTTATATTGAGCTGCTGCTTTCTCTCTCTCTGTTGTATAGATATTGAATGAATATCTGACTTTCATTGACACTATTTATTAAGTCTTGCTGTCTTGGATGTTTATAACATTTGGCAAAAAAGCCTGAAATTGTGCCAATGCTATTTCCTCTTGCCATGATTACTATAAAAATGAAGTACCAAATATTTAATTATATGAATATAGTGATTGATTGAGCCATGCTGTATTATGCAGTAATCATAATAAGTAATAAATACTTGATTGCATAAATACAGTTATTGAGCTTCTTTGTCACTGCCTTATTGCATAAACATTTTTTAAATGTCTTTTGAAATTATAACTCATTACAATTACTGTTTTTTTCACAATTTCTCAGAAACATAAATAAAATTGTTATGTAAAAATACAGAATTCTAATAAAAATTTACTTTCGTTCTAAATGTCTAATGTTGTCAGCAGTTTCTCCGGGAGTCTCCAGTGCATGCTTAGCTTTCTCATATGCTTGCAAAGACAGATTTCTGGCATCATAAGCAAGATTTATAATATCATTGGCCTCCTTTTCATGCCTAATAAAACATATTTATAATTTAGACATGAAACTTTTATTACTGCTTCTCCACATTTATCAGATAAAATAATATAAAATATGATGGTAAAAAAATTTAAAGAAACATTTTTCATATCACTAACTTACAAATTAGTGATTATTATTTAACTCTATATTTTAGTTGCTTATGATATGAACTAATGGACACAAATATCTTTCATGGAGAGAAGATACTCAAATACAATTTATAATGCATTTTTAATAAAATACTAAACTAAACTAAACTCAGTGGTGCAACAGCTCTCAGTGAGCCATAGCCTGTAGTGTCCTTACATCTTTCTAGCCCGTGGGCTCCGGGGTGCATCTACCTTAGACAAGTGATCAGCTTGTTGCAGGACCCCCAGTGAGCTTGGATACTCATAATGGTGAACAATGGTACTCATTTTATCGACCCACTGAAGGGTCTGGGTCAACCTTGCTGAGCCTGGGGATCGAACCCCGGACCTGTGGTGCCGCTGCGCAATGAGCTAGCCACTGCGCCAATGGGCCTTTTTGATGAAATACATAATATTACAAAATACTTCTTACCAAATATGATATTTAAAGCTAAAAAAGTACTAAAGTTTATAAAATCTGCCTCACTGAAAACTATGAGAATTCCCTTACTCAAAATTTCAAAAGTACTATCCCCAATTTTTTTTTTTTTTTTGTTGTTGTTGTTGATGATGAATAAATAAGAAGATACATTCCTTCTTTCTCAGTTTCTTGTCAAGCACTGAAACAGTTTGAATAAGTCACACATTGATCAATTCAGTAGGAAAACTTGAAAAGCTGTTTAGAAGTTATGCATATGATCAATATCATCATTATGTTGAATATAGGAGACAATTGTCTAGAGGTACCAATAAACAGATGATATTAACATGCTTGCGGCACTCATATAAATAGGAAAAGTAGTTCAACAAGTTGGTAATCACCTTTTAACCAAGCAACAACATTAAAGGACTGCATAATTTTGCAGTTTAATCATAGCAGTTTTTATTCACTAGAAGATCCATGACAAAGTAGAAAGTAGTGACGGCAATACTGAAAAGACTTCAATGATAGGAATAAGGAAGATTTTGCTGTGGAGAAGGAGAGTAAAGTCATATGATGTTAAACCAGGGTAACAATAGGCTAAACAATGTAAAATATACTTGCAGAAAAAAAAAAAAAAAATACTGAAACATGGATGGGGAGGAAGCACTCAAAATAATTTCAGTACTATTTTCCTTAATAAATGACATTATGTTTGTGCTTGCTTAGTAATTTTTTTTGGGGGGGGGGAATTTCTGAAGAAGAAGGACCCGAGTCTGATTGTCTTTTGAGATCAGTACAGGTTTTAGTCAAAATCTACACAAAACTAAAGTTCCCTTTTTGCCTAATATTAAATTTTACATTACTGCATTTCTCTTCCATTTAATATTAATGAATTATAATACAGTACAAAGACCGTAATCCAGACACATCGAGACTTCAGCGATTCCGGATTAGGTGCTTTTCCAGATTATAGATCATCAATTTCAATCTGGTAAGATGGCATGTAGAAATTATACAATTAAAAATATGAAACCGTAATTTATGAAATAAAGAGCAATTGCGATCTAAAGGATATCAAAATTTCCCCCCCAAAAAAAGCTGAATATTTATTTGTTTACTTTATTAAGCATTTCTTTCAATGTAAGTCGTTTAAGTTGCTTCGTTTTTTGTGCTAATACTTTCTCTTTAATTCTATAAACAGACATAATTTCTTGTTCAATTACAAAGTTCCACCAATCGGAAGCACTATTTTTGTGGATCTAGAACCATACTACATATTTCGCCGTCCGTTAATTGATTGATGATTGGGGCATTGTCATTGCAATGAAAAACTTCTGTTTTATCATCTTCATTTATTACTGCTTCTCCACATTTCTTTACAAAATCAAATAACTGGAAAATTTCATCTTAACTTTGCGATGTCCGAAAACCTTCAAATTCGCGGCTATCATCTTCACCGTCCCCACCATGAAATATGATAGCTGGCCATAAATTATGCCAAGCATTTTTTAATGTATCTGGAGACACATCCTCCCAACGCGCATGCACATGATTGAACGTGCATTAATGCATATGCGTAAACACATTATACGCATGCGTAAAGCATACAAAAAAAAGTTTGTGGCTTTGAGGTCTGGATTATAGATCATTCCGGATAATGGACGTCAGGATTCCAGACTTTGTACTGTATAATGTTCTAAATGGAAATTCTGACAAATGATTTTCCTTCTGGCATACTGTGTATTAAAAACGAACAATTAAGTTACATATTATGATATATAAATTCAATGCAACACTTTTTTAAACCCTAGTTTTTTACCAAAATTAGTGTATAGCTTATACAAAAGTGCTGCTATTTTCTAAGATTTACCATGGATATATAAAACCAAAAATAATAATGAATACTACATAAGAAGTATATTTGTGTAACATATATAAATATGTAAGAAAGTTGGTTAAATTTAATACATAAATTATACAAGTACGGCATTATTAATGCTACCCAATAAAGTATTACATACACAATAATAATCCATGTACTGTGTTAACAAATAACAATATAAACTATAACACAGTACATAACATATATAAATATGTAAGAAAGTTGGTTAAATTTAATAGATAAATTATGCAAGTATGGCATTCTTAATGCTACTCAATAAAGTATTACATACACAATAATAATCCATGTACTGTGCTAATAAATAACAATGTAAACTATAACACAGTACATATTATTTCTCGTACTATAAAAAATTGCATGCAGTGCAATTAAATAAGATTAAAATGCTAGAGAGTATATATTTGCTCATGAATGTATGACATAAAGAATTCTGGCACTTTAAATTAATTTGCTGACGAGAAGTAAGAAATGAAGAAAGGCATTCTTGCACTACATACCATAACTATTTCAAAAAAATAATTAATATAAAAATTACTCTTTTTCAAGCACTAATAGCATACTAGTAGCTTTCAGGCACTTTTATTATCAGTACTCTTACTTTTTGTACCCCCTACTGAGATACATAAGAATTTTAAATAGCGAAACAGCTATAACATGATATAGACTAGGTGATAGCGTGAATGCTCGAAATAAAAGTGAAAGGATTTTTTAAACAAACAATTATAGATACAGAAACAAAGATATGTCAAATACTCTGACCATTGATAACTGAGATCCTCTAGCAACAAATTTATGACCATCATATTGAGGTGCGAGTTCAGTATTCTGGGTGTGTATTCTGTAATCTAACAATGCATATAAAATTCCACAATGAATATTTAGATTTCCCATATTTTGTTATATTGGTTACGAATAAGGAAAATAATTTTACTTCATGGGAGAAAAAATCTCTCTCACACACACATACAAAAAATGCACAATATAATAAATTAATTATAAACATATACTTAGAATGCAGAAAATAAGACAATTTATCCAAAAATGCAGTGAGCTTTGTTTAGATATTTAGATTTAAGTTTTATGTAAAACAATGATTAAAATTGAAATTCATAATAATTAAAGACTAAAGCTGCAATAATTACTCATCAGCCAGATGTCTTGCTTCCCGAGCAATCTCAGACATTCTTTCAGATTGCTGTCCAAACTTTTCAGATTTTTCAATAGCTTTCTCCAGTGCTGAATAACCTTCAGTTTCTAAATATTTCCTTGCACTATTAAGAGCATCCAGAGCTCGTTTGATAAATTCTTCAGCAATAGTTATGTTGTTTGCACCCAAACTGCCAAGATATCTAGCATCATCAAGTTTGCCCATTACTACTCCAGCACTTTTCTGAACATCTTCCAATCGCCTCTGCAAATCTTTCAGTTTATCTCCCACCTGACCATCTAGATCTAAATTTAAAAGTACAGCTATATAAAAAATACTGCACTTTGCAAAATAAATTGTTGTATTAATTTCATTACATTGAATGATATCTCACATAACAGATCAACAAACTTGATGCAATGAGCATGTGATAACTAGTAGCTGCAAGTAGTTAAACACAATATGATTATGAAAAGTTAGAAGCACTTGGGCTACAACAAACAGCAATAAAAAGAGAATTTAATAACACTACACGATTATCAAGCTAATAACAATTTTATCTAATGAAAATTTTTGCCAAATACTTGTTATACCTTGCGCAGAGTGTAGGAACTTAAAATCTAACAGTTATTAACTGTAATCTTAATTATTAAAATGCAAAAGATTTATCTAATTAATTAAATTACAGAAGAACAAAGACTCTCACAGTGAGAAAAATTAGCAAAATCAAGATACACACACATATACATACATATATACACACAACAGAAAACACTTTTTTTATAATTTTTCTTAAATTAGCCAGAACCCAACACACCAGTGTATATAAGAAAAATCAAGAGAGTTCAAAAAATAAAATAAGATTTAACATACTTCATAACATCAAATCTAAGGGGGAAAATATATGTAATCTCTCAAGGATATAATGGTCAGTGTGTTGTTAAATTCATATATTTATTTAAGACAATTTGATTTACTTAATCATTTCAGCATTACTATATTTCTATATTAATAATTAATATAATATATATATATTATATATGTAAGAAACATGAAGAATATGTAAAATATAAAATTAGCAATGTACATTCCCCTTTTCTAAAAATAGTAACCTCTCTCTGCACTGCCTCATTTCAAGATTAATCTATGTCATATGATTCTTATGCAATTCTGATGATGTAAATGAAACTAAAACTCAAGCAGCCAATAATAATTTTACGGCCAAAACTAACACAGTCTGAATTAAGATTTCACCCTGAGCATAATGCACTTGCTTCCTACTCTTTCGCTTAGCTGGATTGCTGTCTGCTCCTTTCTTACTGCAAATTTATCTAAAATGTAAAATCTCTTGGAATAGGCACAATTTATATGACAACTTGATTGTGGCCACAACATGTTTGCTGAAATAAAAAATGAAGATTTAAATCTGCCTTCACCTCCAATTTCCTATTCATTATGGATCAACACTTCTACGCCATCAAAATGTCGGCTAGTCATTACTTCTAAGTTTGTTTTATCATATATATGTATTTAATATATATATATATATATATATATATATATATGATGTAAAATTATATACGTATATATGAAGTACAATTATAAAATTTGAAAAGTAATAATTTCATAAAAACATGTAACTAAATAATGAGCTGAAAGCTGTAGTAAATTTATAAATTAAACATAAGAAAAATTTTGTACAGTTCAATACTTAAAACAATATTTCTCCTAAAATAGCAAGAATAAAATACTGAAGAATAAAACCACATCTTAAAAAAAAAAAAAAAAAAAAAAAAAAAAAAAAAAAACTGAAACACAGTGTTACATTTTTCATAATGCCCTTTTTTAGGGGACTGATACCATGAGAAACACAGCCATCATTCATTGCCATCAAAAAACACAGCCATTGATAAGCTATCAAACAACACAGCCATTGATAAGCCATCAAACAAACAATTTAATAAGGTTGAAGGTAATCTTTAATAGAATTAATAAAATGAATTATATTATTCATTAACTAGCTCAGCCCCTCCAAAATTATCAATTAGAAACTAAGGAATTATTTTTGTTTTTGTATTTAAATCCAGATTTATTCTAATTCCCCCCCCCCATTTGGGCAGACACATAGTTTCAAGGGTTACAATTTTATGAAACATTTCTCTCACACAACATGGTATGTGGATTAAAATAATAGTGCATAATATGAAATGCTCTTTGTTCTAATGGCTATGGATTTCATTTGTTATTCATTAATGGGCCAATAATTTTTCATCCATTATTAAAATAGAAAAATTATTATTTCCACAAGGCACAATAATTATTAAAATGCTCTTCCTGCATTCCACACTTTGCTAATAGAAAAATATTTATTTCATGAATTTTCTTTAGTACATAAATTTCTGTTTATAGAAAAATTCTGGATACCTAGAAAGGAATTTTCTATCCCTCCACAGATAAATGTAAGCAATATTTAAAAAAGTATAACCTTTCCATAAATACTGTAAACACATTATAAACTATTTGTTTAATTCTAAAATACACCCTGTAATTTCAATTCCATGAACAGTGAAAAGAATTTCGACTCAAAAAATGGAACAAATGAATTTATTTGCTAAAACATATCTAGCAAATATTTTTTCAACTTATTTACAATAAATTATTATTTAAATGATTAATTAATTACTATTTAAATCACGAATGCAGTAATCAATTAATTATCAAATTTACTATTAAATTAGCAATTAATTACCATTGAGCACTTTAGGAAAGTATATCACTTTGGAATAATTATCAATTTCAAAATATCTGCAATTCTAAGGTGGACCCTATTTTTAGCAATATTTATAGAGAGATTCATGTTTGATAAAATATATAGCAGTATGAATAAATAGATATAATACTTTAATAAAAATGATAGTTTTATTAAATGAGCTTCTTAAATAATACTGTAAATACTATGGGAATAAGATGGTAGGTACTGCAAAATACTATGGTAGATACTGCAAAATTAAAATTATTAACTTTTAGATAAACAGTATTAGGTGATAAAGACATAAAGAGTGAATAAAAATTACCAATAAATGCCTAAACATTTCTTAATTTTTTCCAAAACAAATTTGCATTTTTACATAAAAGGGGAAAAGTCCAAACTTACTTGTTGCAGCCATAGCATCTTCCAGCAATTTGTCCACTTTTTCTTGAACTTCTTTCAATTTTGCAGCAAATTCTTCATCATTTAATAACTGTGGATTATCTTTCAATGCCTCGAGCAGTTCCTGAAGTTCTGCAAGCTTTGAGCGATGCGCATTGGCAGCATCTTGCACAAGATCATAGCATGGTGGACAGTCTGCAGGAAAAAAATATGTTTTTTTAATACACAAACTTTAATTTCTATATATATACTTTTCAATCATCAGTGCTACTGTGCATGAATATCCACCCCACACTCCTTTGGGTAGAAACATGTGAATATAATTAAATACCATCTAACTTTTACATAAAACAAGAAAAAAAAATAATTAAGAGATAAATTATTTTATTATTATATTTTACATTTTAACATGACTGAAGATATAAAAACTACTAACTGTTCAGTAACGCTAAAACTAATAACTATGCAGTAATAGTATCAGTGATCTCCAACTGGTTTTGCCTTAAGGGCTACTTTTAAATTTCTGCCTGGTGTTTTATATTTGGAAAATAACAATTTCATGAAAATATGTGATTTTACTGGGCGAGTTTATGTTTCCAAATAATAAAGAAATTAATACGAACCTACAAAAAACTGAAGAAAATCCACTAATAAAATGCATGTAGTGTAGGTGCAAATTAATTTTATTTTTAATTAGAAAATAAAGAAAAGTACATACTAAGAATCTAATTACTAACACAAAATGAAACAACTTATTAAATTGTCAAATATTCCATTAAGTCAGTACATTCGATAACAGTACAAGTCAATACCTTGCTATTAATGAGATATTTGATTATTAATATTCTTTTACAATTTATTAAAATTTGACATATATTCTGATATACAGCCCCATGTAGTTTTTCACATGCCTGGAGTTAACATATTTCTGCACTCACTTTTTATTATTTTAAGTTCTGAAGAAGCCTGCTTACAAAGGTATGTTGACCCAAAAAATGCTTTCATCTTTAGTGTACACCTAAGCATGTTTTTGCATTTAATAGGGTCCATCAGCTGAAAAACTTCATCACTTAAGTTTTCTAGCTTTTGACTATTATAACAGTACAAAGAGTAATAACCTGTAATTCAAACCTCTGATTTGTTAATAAAAGAAAATTTTCCCATTGATGAAGTCACTTCAATTATGTCTAATTCCAAGAAGGGATTTTTCGTTAACAATAATTGGTATCCATAAAGAACATGTCTTGGAATCTTCTTTTTTAAATTCTGAATAACAGAAGGTTTTCCACATGCTTAGATGGATCATACTCCAGAATAAGTTCTGGTCTGGGTCTAGAATTAAGGTAAATGAAGGAAAATGTTGATAGTCTTTCTCCAATAAGTTTTTCTTCCATAAATCAATTTTAGCTAGAAAAACAGATATTGAGCTCATCATTTCCAATATATGTTATCCTGTTCCTTGTAATGTGGAATTTAAGTTGCTGAGTTTTGCACTGATATCGGTTCAAAATGCCAAGTCAGCAAGCAACTTCAAGTCATCCAATTTTTGGTCATAACTGTCTTTGGCTATGAGAAAAGTTTTAATGTCTGACAGCATTCCAACAAATCTTGTTAAAACATTTCCTCAACCTAGCCACCTTATTTCTGCATGGTAAATTATATCACTATGCTTGCTATTTAGCTCATCAAGAAAAACTTTAAAAACTAAGTGATTCAAAAGCCATCCTTGAATAAAATTTATAATGCAGTTCTATGATTGAAGTTGAGTTTTTAATGGACAGACTTTTTCTTTTTAATGAATAATGCAATAGTATTAATTAAATTTGGAAAATGCGTCACTCTGCTTACAGGGCTCAATAAACCCAATATTATTCCCAATTGTAGCCAGTGCACCACTGGTTGTGACTGCGAAAAGTTTTTTTATAAGTGCATTTTCTTCAGTAATATAATTTTTAACTGCATCATATATGCTTTGCCATCTGGAGTCTTGCCTCAAGTGTATTTTTCCACTGTTGACCAAATTGACATGGTTAACTTTCTCTTCGATGGTCCTGGCATATCACTCATGTCAATATGCACACCACAAAATATATAAAAGAACTAGAGAGTTATTTTAAAGCTCACCAGAAACAATACAGTTCGGTAGCCACTACTGCTAACTTCTATACGTTTATTTCAACTAAACTGATGACTGACGACTATATGGATTATTCATCATTTGTGCAGATACATAATAGCCGCAGCAAACTGGTGTTAAAACAGGCTTTCTAATAGTAATCTCCACCTTGCAGATATAGCTGCAGAAACGGGAGCCACTGGTTGAACACCACTGCTATATATGTGTATACAGATATATATTAATTTTAAACCAACATTTGAAACAATTTTTGAACACTGAAAAACATTTGAAATGCTTGAACACCACTGCTATATATGTGTATATATAAATTCTGTACCAACATTTGAAACAATATTAAATCTACTATGATCTTTTTTCAAACATAATGGAATCGATCAGAAGTTGCAGAATATGTCTAATAAAGAGAAGGTGAACACATAGTAATTACCTATGCATCCTGCAGCTTTATTATATGTATTCTCTGTACATCTTTCACATCTGCGACCTTCTACATTGGTTCGACATGGACACTGACCTGATGCATCACACTGAAGTGAAGAAGAGCCAATATAATCACACTCGCAATCTAGAAGAAAAATTATTCTTCACATTAAGTCATATCAAATAGAAAACATACTCTAAACAAAAATTAACACATTTAATATTAAATATAGTAGGTATTATTTAACTAATATTGAATCTGATTGAATATAATTAATAGCATTTGAAAGAGCAAGAAATCTTAATTTAGCAAGATACAAAAATACCTCACCTTTACAATTTACAATAAGCCCTCTTATTGCACCACCTTTACAGATAATCAAAATATCTAGAATTACTGGTGAGAGAGAGAGGTTCACCGTAATCTCATTTCAAGAGCAAGAATTCACAAAGCAAGATTTAATAATTAATTCAAATTCTGCATATAAAATGGCACTAGTGTAGTAATAGTGCGCTATGCAAGGTTGCTTCAATTTTTAAAAACCTGGTAACGCTGCAAATATAAGCTTTAAAAGCAGATACATTTTTAATTGAACTTTTTTTTCGGAAGGGGGGGGGAACTATTGAAGAACAAGGAATAGAATATTAATATCAAAATATTATATTTTAGTTAATTAGGTAGTAGTAAACATGGATTTAAGTTGAAGGAATTCTTGACCCAAAATTAATATTATGATTTATGTCAAGGTTTGACACAACAGTAATGTATTGATTGTCAGTACAGTAATGTATTGCCAAATGAATTCATTTTTCAATGATGAAGCATCTTCCAGTGCAACAATTTTTACCTGGTTTAAAGAATTTCATCATGGATAAAGGAATCTAAGTGTTGAATTTCGTGAAGGTTGACTGAAAAGTGTTGTGATGCCAAACAACACTGATTTTGTAATAAATAACTTTAGATTATCATGTTACCGATGATCAAATTGAGGCATCTTTGATTATTTCAAATAACTTACAGCATTTATTTTTTCAAGAACAGTTAAAAAAGAAAAAAGACATCTGTGCATTATATTCCACATGTGAAACTCAAGCTAAAAGAATGCTTGTATGAAATCATAAAAGTAAAATCTCAAAAGAATCAACAATGGCAACACACATATTTACTCCTAAAAAACCCAAAACTACTCAAGAGTTTCAAAATGTATTAATATCCTATAAAAATTATCCATGTATAAATTGCTTTAAAGGAAAATAACTATTATATTTTTTGGGTAATAAATAATCCTCAAAAGCAATGGTTCTGGCTATAAACACTGACTAGTATGTGGTAATTTGTTTGCTAAAAATAGTTTCTGGCCTCGGAAGAAAAAGTAAGATCTCGCATTATTCTACTGCATGATACCATAAGCTCTCAGTATATTTCAATATCTGAAAATGTGTCTGAAAATTTGATTCAATGCATCATTAACCGTTTCCACTTTATTTAAATGCTAATTTTTTAGTCCCGAAGGGTGTTTCCCAGAAGGACTATTTGTCTCGAAATGGCATTTTGTGTTGAGCCACTAAAAGCACTGAATCACTTTTGAAATTGTTGCCACCAAATATTATCACCCTGTATTATAATTAAAGAAATTAAATAATGAAGAATCTACATGAATGTAAGCATGTTTTTCGCATTGTAAAAAAACAACGGTCCTAGAGCCTTCAAATTTTGAGTATCGCAATCCTCCACCTGAACTTAGACACCTGGAAGTCCAAATTTTGTATTTTGAATTTGTTTTATTATCTATTTGATAACTTGTAAAACTTTAATAATTTTTTTATTAACGAAACAATTTCAAAGCAAGCAGTAAGAAAACTGTACAGAATGAAACATTTTTATTTCTAGCATATGAGACTGTCGATCAGAAATTCTATAGTTATGCTGTTTTTAAATGTTTTTAGTCCAAAGGGGTATTAGCTCAAATGCTCTTGAAACTTGTATGCATGTGTAAATGAAAAAATATCCCTTTGGGCATAATATAAAATCTGAAAGCTTTCAGATTTTAATTTACTTATTTGGTAGCATTCACACATCAGCTGCACAGACACTGATTTGACAGCCCAGAAGGGAAAACATATAAATTGCACATTTCTTCTGAAAGTTGGTTTAATTGAATGAAAAATTACATTGACACTGTAGGTAAATATTTTAAAAGGCAAATGATATTTCTATATAAAACAATTTGCAAATAATTTTTTTTAAACACTTAAACTTAAACCTATCAGAAAATTGTTGTGTAAACTAGTCCCCCCCCCTTTTTTTTAATTTTCTGCTTTCAACTTTAAAATTTGATTTAAAAAAAAATGAATCTATAATTCTGAAATTTCATAAAGAAGGAGTTTAACTGCAAAAGCAGAAAAAAGACTTATGAAGTTCACAAAAATATTTCCAGTTTTCTGCATTTCAGTATTTATAAAATGGTATAAATTATGAAACAAAGTACAATTTTAACAGAGGAATAAAATAATTCAATATTCAAATATACATAACTTTCGTTTCTCCTAAATTCTGATACATCTCTAAATGCACGTTTAGTTCGAGGATTTTCAATTGTCCTACTGTTAAGCATAATATTATAATGCAGCAATAGAAAAATTAAGCCTCCTCTTTTCTTTTTAAACATTGCTTTGCAGAAAGAAATAAAACATTAGAATCAAATGAGACAAGAAAAAGAATATGAAAATGATGCATAAAGAAAATTAATTAAGTTCCAATGCAATTATTGAACTTAATTTAATGATGATTAATTAATTTAATGATGATTAAATTAAGTTCTGATGCAAAATTAATTTTTATTGTTAAATTGTATCATTCTTTTTGCTTTAAATTTCTAGCTTTTCTGTTCATTCTAAATATCAGCTATAAAACTTCCCTGCATTTGTTACCCCGTAACAAACTTCATTGCCCTACAAGGAAGGAGGTAAAAGAGATAATTAAGCTTTTTTTCCTTTTATAATAAAATTTTACTATTTTGAACTTTTTGTGGAGTGTAATATTAGCACGAAAGGGCATAGATGGCATTTCTTGAATAAAGAGTTTACAATGGAATCTTCCACAATGAACATCTTGCCTAATGAATGTCCCACATAACAAGTGCAAGACTAAACCAAAAGATGTTGCACTTAACGAACTCAATCTGGATTAAAAACTGTTAACAAATTTCATCACAAATTAAATGCGGGTGGATGTGCATAAACAAAGGCAACAAAGAGTGAGCACATAAATACATATCTTAATATTGTGTCATCACTGAAAGACTGGAAGTCCTCTTTTAACCAGAAACATGAGGAAGCCTTTTTCTGGTGATGAGGAAAAGAATAGAAAAGCTTTTTTCCTATTATAATTAAGATGAGTTAAGTCGAATACAAATGTGCAAAAAGGTAAAGGACAGCTGAGCCATCTTTGAAAGATGATTTGGAAGACTCAGATCCAACTTAAAAAAATAGTAATGCTCTGTACATTCAGTGTATGAACATATTTTTAATAATTAATTATTAAAATAGTAAATTCCAGGCAATAGCAACAATGGTTGTATTTTTAATTCTCTCTCTACTTTTTTTTTAAAGGTTTTTTACGATTTTTGAAACAGAGCAGTATTATTCTCATATGGAAAACAATGCCTATGGAAACATAATTAACACTATTACAGAATGAATTACGTTCATTTAGCCAGAACCACTGTATTTAACAGTAACATATTTTTTACATTATTAATTTATAATGACACTGGATTTGTTTTTAATAACATCTGAACTGTAATTAATTGTAATTAAAATTGAATTGTAATTAAAATGAGAGATCCAACACATGAGTCCTCTAAATTCCATCCTCTTTTGCTTCACCCTCATATCACTTCTCCAATATTCCTGGAATGACTGGTTAGTTAAAGTTTAAACAGGATGCTGTGTACATGGTATTCTTTGAAATTTATTGTTGTTATGTTAATTTATTAAAGCGAGGTCTGCGTAGTTTGTAGATTCGTTCGTTGCCTACATTGTGCAATTCGTAGATGTTTTTTTACGTTAAAACATGTCGCTGTGTATATGGATTCTTGTCAAATATTTTTGGTTAGAAACTTTACGTTTTCGCTATCTAAATTTTTTGTTTTTGTTTCAGATTTTTAGCTAAATTGTGTGTTTTAAACGTAGTTTTTGCATGTGCGAAAACCGCCTTTTTGGAGCTATTTTAGGCTAAAAGTTCAAAATGTAGACAAAAAATTTAGATAGTAACATGGCAGCGTGAAGTTTCTCGCCAAAAATATTTGGCGAGAAATTTGGTGACTTGAGGGCGCATATCAGAGTAGTTCCATAAAATTGTCTAGTTTTTATTTTAAGAATCATAATTTATTGAAGGTACAAAGTGTGAGAACAATGCATTATGTACTTGAAGAAACTTATTACAGTCAAAAGTCGTTAATCCGGACTCGTCGGGACTTCGGCGATTCCGGATTATAGATCATCAGTTTAAATCTGGTAAGATGGCATGCAGAAATTATAAAATTAAAAATATGAAACCGTAATTTATGAAATAAAGAACAATTATGATCTAAAGGGTATCAAAATTTACAAAAAAAAAAAAAAAAAAAAAAAGCTTAATATTTATTTGTTTACTTTATTAAACATTTCTTTCAATGTAAGTTGTTTCGTTTTTTATGTGATAATATGTTCTCTTTAATTCTATAAACAGACATAATTTCTTGTTCAGTTACAAAGTTCCGCTGTTCAAGTCCTATAATTGCTGTGTCGAGAATACCGACTAATTTGCCAATCGAAATTTTTCGTTTTCAATAACCTCTGTCACTTTCTTCGCTATCCGAAGCGAATTATAATGACCAGGAATTTGATTTAAATCATATCAAAGACGGAGTACATCGAGATGAAATAATACATTTAGTAAGGAATTATAAGCCAAATAAAATAAAAACATCTGCCCTGAGGATAAGGATAGTGCTGACCCAATTCATTGCGCACCGCGGCGTTAAAGATAAACAAAGTTTAGATAAACAAACGTTAAAGTTTAGATAAACAAAGGATATGCCTTTATTTATTCTTTGCAGCAATTCCACTTTTTGTTTGATGGACATCGGAACATGCTTTCGCTTTGTAGATCCTTTGACAGCTCTAGAATCGGAAATTCTTTTTGACATAATCAAAAGTTCAAGCCTACTTTTTATAAAATTGCTCTTACAGTCTGCAAAAAATAATAAGCTGAATCTAATTAGAAGATTAAGGAACAGTGCAATCTGCAACATTAACTGAATTAGATAATTTAGCTTAGCTTATATCGTTCGTTATACATTAAACGCGCATTCGTAAACGTATTTTGTGCACGCGCACATGCCTATTCGCAGCCGTAAAGGTCTTACGCGATGCATGCGCAGGAAGTTTGTAGCTTTGAGGTCCGGATTATAGATCATTCCGGATTATGGGTGTCCGAATTAATGACTTTTGACTGTATAACATAAAATGTGAAATGGGGTAAGAAAAGTTTGTTATCATGATACATAGCTGAAAGTAAATTTAAAAGAATAAGAATTATTACTTACGGCTGCAGCCATCAATTGAAAATCCAAAGTGATGAGGTTGGCATTGATCACATTTTAATCCCATAACTCCAGGACGACACTTACATTGACCACTTACAATATCACATGTATGTTCCGAGGAACCCACTGGATCACAGTTACAAGGTTCACAACCAATGCCACTGGCAATATTCCAGTAACCTTCCACACAAATATCACAATGCTTCCCTTCTACATTTGGCATACATGGGCACAGCCCTGTCGCATAGTTGCAAACTAAAACATCCACGTGGGGATCCTTTTTCAGTGTTCCAATAGGATTACAGTTGCAAGCTGTGAAGAAAATTTATATACAGATGAGTTATCTCCATGAATATGATTTTAAAATATGAATTTTCTTAAAAATGAAAATGATTGATGATACACTCTACCAATTTAAATACCTCTTAAAATATTTTAGTTATTCTTAATGTCATTTTGGAAGTTAAATTCAAAAACGGCATTTAAATTTCAACAGGGTCTTTATTCAAGAGACAAACTTTAACAGAAAATAAAAGCCCACTAAAACATTTCAAAATGAAACACATATCAAGCCGAATCAAAATCATAAACTAAATATGAGCATAGTACGCATTGAATGTCCCATGCCATCAAATATAGCTTCATTTGTGAAGAGTAAATATGCAAGAAATTTTTACTGCACTATGTTCAGATGCATAGAGTCAAACTTAGTAGAATGAGGATAATCTTCAGCTATTCGTGCATACATTCTTGACACAAATTTCCATGTAAAACTCTCCAATACATGATATGTTTCATCTGGAAAGGTTTGTAGAAAGAACTGCAAAATTGTCCAAGAAAGCCACAGTAATAGTTTGTGGAATTTTGAAAATCTTGTATTGTAGCATGTTCTTCTATTTCAGGATTCTCATACTTCTTGCATGAACCACATCATACCTACTGCCACTGAATGCTCCCATTTAACAAAGTTACAATGCCTGCAATCAATACCCACATAAATGGAATGTGTTCATAGTCAAACTATTGCATGACTCTTCAGTTTCAGATGAAAGTTTCACACATAACATGCATATCTACATTTTTAGCACTGTAAACCGATTTATCAGATAAAAAAAACCTACAATGCAACTGATAAAATTTCCCTAAACATTCATCCATAAGGAATATTAAAAATAACCCTCTAATACTTCAGTTTTAAGTGTATATTATGTTATGAAAACTCTGTTTTGTCTATTGTTCCTTAAAGTTTGTCTCATGAATTTAAAAACATATTTTATATCCCATACCATTTTTCTCTTGCATACTGCATATTTATTATCTGTATATAGTCAATAATAGTGCAATATTTAAACTAATTATTGACAAATGATCTTGATCATTATTTCAAGTACACGTTTAATTGAAATAATTTTACATTATTTAAAATTAAAGCCTAAAAATTCTGAAATACTCATTATTAGTAAAGTAAATTAGGTAGTTTCTTTTTTAAAAAACACAGACAGTCATTCAATGACTTAATCTTGCAAATTCAAAATCTTCATCTAAATCGCAAAGACTACAAATTTAGACATTTGATTAAAAAAAAAAAAACCTTTACAACTATGTGCATGTGTGTATCTATATATATAATGGCAATGAATGGGGGGAAAAAATATTTGCTTAAGTTAGACTAATGTTCAAAAATACTTTATTAGGAAAGCTTTCTAATAACAAACCTTTGCAATCTCCTTTCGGAAACGAAATTGCATTTCCATAATATCCTGGTAAGCAAGATTCACAGTGTCTTCCACCAGTGTTATAAACACATTTCAAACATTCTCCGGTAGTTCTAAACAAATTCAAAAATTAGTATATTAAAATAAAACTGAAGTTTGAAGAAATTCTATGTTCTACTAACAGAAAATTCAATAATGAAATAAATATTTCAAAAATATACACATTAAATACATTATACTGCCTTACACACTAAATGCATTATACTGCTATCCATGGAAATACATGGAAGTATACATGGAAATTGCTAGAATTCTATTTAAATATAAAAACTTATGATCTAGTTATCTAATTGTCAAGTAACATCCATACTCTTATAAAAATGTCTTTTAGGATTCTATAAAAAGAAATTCAACATTACACTTCTTTAGAATCATGGCTCAATTTTCTATAAACTAATTCAGAGATCTTCAATAGAATTAAATTTAATTTTAATAGGGATATAAACCTTTGCGATAAATGTGATTTTTTTCTTAATAAAAAATCTTAATATCATTTTGATTAAACAAAAATATTTAAATGAAAATAAATAAATTTTAAATAACAATTAAGTTTAATAGAAATTAAGAAACTATTTCTTTTATTGGGGGTATACATACAATAACTAAAAGCTCTTTTATCAGGGAATTAAAATTTTATAATTAATAGCATAAATTTAACCTCTTAATTTATTTTTATAGTGTAAATCGATTTTAAACTTTTACAAGATTTAATTTCTGTATTTAAACAATACTGTACAAAGAAATTCACAAAATATTACATAAATTCAGAAGCTAATGAACATTAAGCTAAAAATTTCCTTTAAAAACTGATTCAACACTTATGAATATAAAAAGCATTTATTTTTGCTCCTTTATATTCCATATTATAGCACATTAAAAACTGAAAATTTTGTTTTGATTACAGTTTGAAAATTTTCTGATTTCTACAGAATTACAATTCTAGAGAGTCTTTGTAAAATTTCTTTTATGATTTTGTAAAGTAATATTCCTACAGAATCCTGCTCTGAAAAATTTATAAAATTTCTATAGAATTTTAGAAAGAAACATTTCTGTAAAGAATTACCTACAGACATTTCTGTAGAAGATTACCTACAAAGTTCGGCAAGAATTTCTATAAAATTGTATCCTCTATACGAAATTTTCATAAAGACATATATTATAATACATACCTACATTATATACACATATATTACAATTGCTCCAGTGCTTCTGAAAGTTCATTTAATTGAATTTTCAGAGAAATGTCTCATTTAGTTTCCATCAGGAAGTCAAGTTCCAAAGCATAAGTGAAATAGGCAACTGCCTCAATTGCAAACTTTCAGAAGGCACCATGCAAGTTCTTTAGAGTGGTAATATCTCAGTGAGTGATAAGTAAAATATTGAAATAAAATATTCATTGCTAGAAGCGAGAAAGACGATTTTTGAACATCCTCATGTAAATCTTCAGAGTTAATTAAACTTTCTAGAGCAGTGTTTTCCAACGTGGGCAATTTGATTGTTAAGGGAGGCAAATTGAAAATGGACTCATCCAGAGTTTAAGGGGACAAAATATTTTCAAAATTCCAAATTTTCTTCAAGAAGTCAAAATTTTTCAAAATTTTATTTTTTATTCCCCAAAATAAAGATTAACGTAAGTGATGTATACGTAAAAAGGTTTTTAAATAAAATATTTAAATTGCGGTGCATTTAAAATATTTTATAAAGAATTTTCGCTGTGCACACAGATATTTAAATGCTTAGAAATTTCTTCCTAAAACCTATCACTATATTCAAAACCATTAAAATATGAAGAACTAAATGAATATCTGGTTATGAATACTTTATCAAAGCTTCAGTAAATCTAGAAAGGCAGTTTAAAGAAAATTTCTTCAGAGTCAAATATTTTCTTTTCCAATGAAGCAAAAATTTAAACAACTCAGCATGTTGCCACTTTTTTGATTTTGAAAAATTACACAGAAATTGATTACCAGAAAATTGCAAAAACTTGCAATTTGCTAAACACAAAAGAAAATTGAAGTTGCAGAGTAAGCAACTATGATACTATAAATATGATATTAATAATGATGAGATGGCCATAATCTTTCAAGATCTTATTTCAAGAGCAGACAAAAGCACCAAATGAAGTTGGTTTCAAACTACTTATCCTAAAGCATGCACTCTCTACAAAATTTTGAGAATTCTGGTATCAGTAGTTGTAGTGGACAGGAGTTTATAACAGAAGGGAGTTGACAAATACTTATTTGTGGTAATTTTAAATTAATAAAGCGAATTCTCTTGCATTTCTGGTTACAGAAATTAATATGGCTCAAGAATTACAGCACAATGATATTATCAACATTTACATCTTATGAAAAGTATACAGATTTTCAACAGGTTTTATTTAAAAGAGACTACAAATGTTTAAAATGCTGTACTTTTACAGATTGCCTAGAGCATCAAAAATGCTAGATATGGCCTTACCCAGCTTGGGTGGCTTGAATTGCCAGAAAACATTGCCTACACAAGGATATTGTTAAGATTGAATAAAATAGTCAGAAGATGAGAAATTTGGTAAAGTAAATCTGGAATCATAATGATCACTTTTTGATGAAACACATCCAAGCATTTTTTTTTGCTGAAAATCTGACATCCTGCAACATGATCAACAGATCCTTAAATTCTATGAAATACACTGTCCTGGGTGATGTTACTCCATATACTTCTTCCACACAGACTAAACTAACACTCTCTATCAGTCAAATTCAAGTTTCACAACTTAAATACCTGTTAGAATTTTCTGTTAAATTTTCAAATAGACGGGTATTAATACAATTCTTTATATCATCACTTTAAAGCAATTGCAATTTTGCCATGTTGAATATCTATCTATATAAGTTTCTTCCATGTCTTCACTGAAAAAAAGAACAATTTCCACTTTGCATACTTTTTTAACACAGTAAAAGGTAACTGAAGAATCCAAATATTTCTTTTTCTATTATATATTCAATAAAGATAAATTTAAATGGTTATTTCAGATTTAATAAGCAAAACTGAATTGTGCAGATTACTGACAGAAATATAACTACACTATGAAATATTCAAACTTTCGTCCTAATGAAATAGTTATTTTACATAAATATATACTTTTTCAGAGAAATAAAGATTAAGAAAACTACCTGTCACAGTTTCCAATAGCATTCGGATCTACATTTTCATTACACTCACATTTACGACATTCTCTGTGACCATATGGTTCAGTAGGTTCTCCAAAATAACCATCAATACATAAGTCACATCGATGACCTAATTATTAGAAAACATGCATAACTTTTACAATTTAAAAACAAACATTGTGAAAAAGTTTTAAGTATTTTTGGCTTTTACACTAGACAAAATTTCATGTATTGTATTATGAAAATGGTTTACATAAACATAGTTAAGCCAGTATTCTTTTTTTAATTCCTAAACCTGAGACATTAAGCTTTATAATTATTTACCCCATTAATATAGTCTACAGTATACATTTTCCAGACATATTTACTGCACAGTAAATACAAATTAAAACTTTTTAATTTTTCTTTATGAATAAAATCACTGTAAAATTAACTTGAAAATTATCAAATTATTATGATCATATTGTATATAATGCAGCACCTCAGCTTCCAAAGTTAAATGCAAAAAACTGAAAGATACTCATACAAAAACTGGGAGTTTCCAGAAAGTTTTCACACTGAGCAATGATGTAATTTCAAAATAGCTCAGATTGATTTAAATTCATTTTTAATGTATGTTTCAGATTGCTGAACAATTTTTAATATGATCCTGATGTAAAATAAATTAATATCTAATTAGTTATTCTGAATTTTTTTGTTCTTTGGCTAATTTTGTTTTCTAATTTTCTTACACTTTTGTACTGAAAAATTTCTGATTAGGCAAATATTTTTATTTATGATGAATATATTTTTAAATATGATGAAAATAAAACTAATAATTAATCTTAAAACTACTGCATGGCTAAATTTAAATATAAACAGTAATTGATTAAACATTTGTTGAATCTTTATAATAAGTTCCGCAGATGTCTACAAATTTAGATCAAATAAAATTTAATAATGTGGAAAACATTTTTCCTAGTAAAGGCTAAAAATTGGAAGCTGAAAGTTTCACTGATCTACGTGAAGGTAGGTGAATATGATGAAAAACCAGAAACCTTCGATAAAATCACAGAGTTGGCAGCTATGAAACACTTAAATATCTAAAATTTTGATGTAAAAAATTAATATATGATTACAGTACTATTAAAAATTGAATTATTTAAATAAACTGTGATTTTATTTTATAATACGAATTAACAGCAATATTAAAGTATGATTAAAAAATGTAATTGCATTTTTAATATATTCCATTAATCAGTAGCTTTAATTAACTAATTAAATTACACCTTCTGAAAAGGAGAGAAGCATGAAGAACATTTATTGTACTAAAACAAACTTTCAGCAACCTTCTTCTAGTACATCCCCTTAATTAAATAACAATATAAAATATAAAAATATAACGTCTCTATAAAGACTACTCTGCTTTTACTTTTTAAATTAGCAAACCTAGGAAAGTACTGAATAAATGATAAGATAAATAAATAAATGCTACTTTCCAACTGTTGGATCTTTAGAATTATTGATTAACTGCTTGCAATAGTCTGTCACAAAAATCTCTTTCTAAATATTCTACAGATATCTCAAAAATGTTTAAAAACTGCTTTACTCTGAACATATTAGTCATTGTTCTTTGCAAAATAAAATCAAAAGACTTTAAACCCTTATTTAAAGATCTTATTCTTAAATTTCTGATTCTCAAATTTATACAGAGTTTTTAAATTAAAAAAAGGCTTCAAAGAAAATTCTACTACTTATCAATAATCTAAAGTCATCAAACTACATCAAATTACATATTTAATAACTGAATTAATAATTTAATAGTATATATGCAAAAAAATATGCGAAGAGTTTATCAACTTAAATAATTTTAGCAATAAATAATGCATGTACAAATATATATCGCAAACAATTTCATTTAATCCATACTTACCAGCATATCCTTCAGGGCATTCCAGACATGCCACTTCTTCATCTGGTAGAATTACACATGCACCACCACCTGGGCAAGGGCAGGGTTTGCAGTCTTCAGCTGTTCCTAAAACAGCATTTCCATAGAAACCAGAAGCACAATATTCACAATTGTCACCTCCAGTATTATGCTGGCATATGCAACGACCTATTGTGGGAGAAGAGGATAAAATTACAGTAATAGTATTAGTATATGATAGTTACATAACATAATCATTTTACAAAGCAATTATTTATAGTAGGTTTGCTTAATATGATCATGGCTGTCCATGGTTATTTTGATAACATTAAATAATGAGAAAAATATCCTTCAAAATAACATTGGAATTCAACTAATTTAATATAACTAGAAACATACGAACAGGTATAGTCACAGCATTTTAATTAGGAAAATGCAAAAGCTTAATTATGACCTGTTCATGTTTCTGGAAATTTTTTAATGATGCTTTTCCCAGCAGGTATCCTTCATTGGAAGACAGGTCCACCAGCGACAGGTAAAAGTCACTGAACACTGGCAGTTCGGTCTGAGGTTCAAATCCCAGGAATGGGCTGGCTGCATGGGCACTTTTGTGTACCCATATGTAACGTGTATACAGGCCAGTTTCCCTTAGAAAGCCCTCTATGAAGGCATTCCTTCCCTTAAGCAGATAGCTCTCAAGGCTTTACCATAATTACACAAACCAAACCATTGGGAAAGAACTTGTCAATGTAAAATTTAAAATTAGGCAAAAAAGCAACTTTAGATCAACAAACATGTTTTCAGGAAATGTTTATTTCAGGGGGAGAATTTTTATTTCATTAGTTCTGCATAAATATTTTTTACTCCTGAAAAAGGGAATTCTGTGTCTGATTGCTCTCGAAATCAGTAGATTTATTGAAACTCTACTTCAAACTAAAATTCTTTTTTTCCTAATTTGCAATAATTTACTAAAAAATTGAAATTAAGCTATTTGGCAACTTAATCCTTCACTTGGCAACATTTCTATCACCTGGCAATTTTTTTACCAATTTTGAACTTATTTGATGACTTTACTTCAGTTTAAAAACTTAATTGTATAATATTTTGATCATATTAACTAAATTTTTTTATCACAATAAGCGATGTATTTTCCCATTTTAAAATACAAATTAGTGGGACTTTGGCAATTTGATGATAACATCCAAATGAGAACATTAACCCTGAACACATTATATGGCATCTACTGTAGCATGTCTAGAAAGTAAGACTATATTGCCTGCTGACTTCTAGTCAGCATTGTTTCTGAAAGATAAAAAAACACTAAGAAAGATCATAAACTTCTTACTTTGGTCTCACATTCAATTAGCATTGCTGCACCAACACACATTCAACTAAAATACATTTTAACCGGACACAGTGATCCATAATCCCAACATATCATTAATAACAAAAATATAAGGCACAGGCCTTAATATGATTTATCTCTGCAAGAGGGTAACATCCATCAAAAATTAACAGATGCTTTAGTGCTGTTAATTATGACATTATAAATTGACAGACTGTAATAAAGCACTGCTGTTAGTTCTTGAGAAATAGACAAAGGGATAGCAAGCTGTTTTTAATCTGAAAATTCTGCTCAAAAAATCATAAAAATTTTCTTACTGATCTTCCTGAAGTGATAAAAGAATCTTGAATGATAAATGACTTTCATAAAATCTTTCCTCTAATTTCAAAATTCATGATTCATGAAACAATTATTAAAGAATTAAAATTAATATGCATGAGCTACATACCTAAAGTTTTAATAGCAGATTACAAAATACTATGGATTATGGGTTCAACTTATATGCTCTGCAATTAAAAAAAGGAATGAATTAATATACTCCATTATGGCTGAGGATGGAATTTGGGTTTTTCATCACACATCTGGATCTAAGCAACAATTACTTCAATAGCACAATTCTCCAAATAAAAATTCTAACCTGACAAAAGTACACAAATTCATAACTGAATTTGGCTTGTTATTGCTGCTTATGTTTGGCAATTTGGCTCTAAAATGAAATTCTATTTTTAAGGTCACTGCTTTGGTTACAAATAGAATATAAATTTCTCACATTTCAATTAGTAAATTACTTAATTTATCATAACTTATTTTTCATCAGCATTACAAATACACATCTAAAAATTTTCTCATAAATCTGTACCATATCAATTATTATAAGCTCTTATGGCTACCTACAAATCATTCATATGAGAAAGCCCATATGAAAGTTAAATTTGTTTTTATATTTATATTTTTTTAGTGTTCTTGAAATAGTTCTGAAACATAAGAATTCTTTATTTTTATCCTTGTGATGTTGTTTTATAAACATCACAAGGATAAAAATAAAGAATTCTTATGTTTCAGAACTATTTCAAGAACACTAAAAAAATACAGAATATTTAAATTAGAGAGAAAATTAGATAAAAGTTGATTTAAAAAAATATCAAAACTTAAATTTTAAATGTAAAAATAAATAAATAAATAAAAAATAAATAATTAAATAATAAATAAATAAAATAATCGGAAAATTTTAAAACTGACAATATAGATTTTCTTACCTGTTTCAGGATCACAATATTCTGCATGCCCGTGACAATTACATGGCACACAACGAGCAAATCTTCCACCATGTGGTGGATCATGTCTATATCCTGGTTCACATGATTCACAAAACTGTCCAACATAACCTTCCGGACATGTACACATCTCAACCCAAGTTGCTTCAATTCCAATAGGTGATCGCTGAGCACCCCTTAACTGGACATTGTTTAAATAGCCAGTGCCTAAATTAGAAATAAATATGAGCATCAGGATAATGTATAAATTACAATTACTCATTTAATAATTTGCATTAGAACTGTTTATGCATAAAATACTTGTATTCTAAAAAAGTGGCCAACTTGAATTTTAAGAAACCAACTCACAAATGAAAGTGTTCAGCTTTTCTCTGGAACTGATTCCAGTGAAGAAGTTCAGTGCATTCAGAAAGGATCATTTACAGTGTGGAATACAATTAGATTTTTCTTTTAAAACATAATTTCACTAACTGCCATATTTAACCCCTTTTCTACTAATTTTTCAGCTTGAAAATCGGGAGGAAGAAAATACATAGACTACACTATTTTTAAAGAAACTGCGTATACTGCACAATGGAATACAACTGTTATATCACCTTCATTTATTACTATTTCTCCCCATTTCTTCACAAATTCTATTAATTGGAAAATTTTACTTCATTTTAATTTTTACCAATTTATTTATTTATTGCAACACCTAAAAACATTTAAATTTACAGTTATCATCATAAAGCTCACCTATCATCTGCTATATACTGTTAGTGATGCATCATGAGATTAGCAACTAAAGATGTGTTTGGCTATACTCTGTCTTGCTTTTGTCTCATGCTGAAGAAGTTGACCTTGAATTGCATCAGTTTAATAATTTATTATATCTACATCTATTTTCTGCATATGCTTAAGGTTTATCTGAGTTCTGAATAAATAAATTTCCAGAAATACTTAAGGCTTAACAACAAATATAAGTTATTCTTAATTCAAACAGCACTAAATGTAAATTTTTCCCTTGTGAACATCATTTATAAAATATCCTTCTTGGATACAGAAAGAAATTTATGTTAAATTTCTCCTCATCAATACATTGAGCAAAGCAGTTGGCTGAAGCCAGTTGTCATCCCTAAGTGTAATGCCAACATAAAGAGTAACCATGCTGTTTGGTATTAAATTACTAACATTAAAAAAAATGTTTTAGGCATCATTTCATGAATCATTTTTCAAGCTGCCATAAGTTAACAGCAAAAAATAATAAAAAAATGATTTGCCAGGTTCACATCAGGGTTCTAAGCTATTTATTCAGTAGGTGCAAATTCAATGATGAATGGTAAAATGTTTCAGCTTGAGATGGATGCTGAGCAAAATGTCAGCAGCTATAGAGTTAAATTTAGAACATACAAACTTATGCTAAAAATTATTGTGTTTATTTAGTGTCAAATTGAAATTAGGAGTGATGACACTAAGACCCTCCAAACTCTTTTTCAACCTATGAAAAAATGTCTACTGCACATGGGTGAAGCATTAAGCATATGCTAAAGTGAGATGATACTCTTGAAGTCTTTTGCTATTTTCTCAAAACATTTCTTAAAAAATGCTGCTGGTCCGGAAGCATAATTCTGCACATTAAATCATTCTGGATATTAGACATCCAAATTGCAGACTTTGAACTGTATATAATAATTTTACTTTAGATTTCTTTTTACAGCAGCCTTGGCACAAAAGGAGAATTCGTATGTTTCCACTTTAGTAGCATGTATTATTTAATACATAGATATACATACAGAAATAATTTAATAAAATGTCTATTTATTATTTTATTTAACACAATTTTGTAAGTAATTTATTTAAAATACACACTGCACACAAACATACCCATAAATTCATTTTTCACAGACACGTCAAATGGTCACATTTCAGCAAATGCTACGAATCATGTGTCCAACATATTATCATAGCTGACTATGATCCCATAATATAAACTGCTAGTAGAACTCCACATGATGGTGAGTCAAACCTCTATGCTTTCATGTTGCCACTTCCCAAATCCCCATATACATTCTACTTTCTGGATATGGGTACCATATAAGTCATAGGATTCACAATATTGTACCCTTGGCTCACCATAAAGTGACAGAAACCAGCTTCATTTAATTCTTCAGTTTTATCCCCATTCTAACAGTTTATGTGAATTATTAATCTTTCATTCATATGCACCTGGATGTTCTCCATGACAGTTCTTGCATTTCTGTTTGGTACTTGAACTAAGAAGCATTTACAGACACTGCAGCAAATGTTGGCTAAAATCATCTGTTAGAGCAGCACTCTCACAGCACTCATTGACTGGTCTAAATCTTCTTTTTTAAAAAGAAATTTATCAATCTGTAAGATTTTAACAGGGCCTCCTATTTTACTGGCATACTGTCTTGTAAAAAAAAAAAAAAAATTAATCAGACCTTCCTTATGTAATTTAATCAATAATTATTGTTTCTCCCATTCAATTTGTCTGTTGCACCAAAGAACTAAGCTCTTACAATAAATGAATTGCAAGGCCATAAGTAAGGATATTTTGACCCATTAAACCAATTTCCCACATAAAGACATTTTTCTTTTTTGCAAATGATGACATTGCATCTCTAAATAGTTTCTTTTCCAATATAAAATTTTACATTATGACTATTTTCACAAATTTGTTTGGAAGAAAATAAAAAAAAAATTCCTTTTGAAAATAGACAAAAGCATTTTTTTGCCGTTAATAGAAGATGGAAAATAATTAGCAAATTAAACATTTGACGATGTTAATGTTACTTTAAAATAGAATATCTTCATCAATCAAAAAAAGTGTAAATTGCATGCATATGTGCAGATTGATAACTGTTTATTTTTTGACAGAACAAAAAAGCATGAATTTTTTTTGGGGGGCGGACTAAAATCACCATAAAATGTAAGTACTATAATTTTTTTAACCTACCAAAAAAAAAAAAAAAAAAAACTTCATTTGTATTTAGTTATTTTTTAATTAATACAAAATAAAATACTTTGTTTTATTCTGCATTAACTGCTAATCATTTTTGAAAAATTATTAACACTTACCTCCATAAGTATATGTTCCTTTAATTTTTATTGCAGTTAAATCTGATAAAATTGTCAAGAAATCATGAGCAGTAAGTCTAGGATTCCATCCATAAACAGAATGCTCATGAATTCGAAATTTGTACTCTTGATTAAAAGTTGTTGGAAGAGGATTCCCTTGCCCAAAGATTGGAAGTGAAATTGATAACCCTGATCCTTCCAACACAATATCTTCAAGTGTAGCTTGGGGTCCATCTTCACTAATTTTTAAAGTAAAGCTAAGGAACTGGTTGTATGCTGTACGCTGATCTCCAAGGTATCTGACTATGAAAATATACAAAGTAAATATGCAAGAAGCACAGAAATATGAATTTTACTGGCTTTAAATATAAATCACAGCTTTTACAAATTACTCATATATATTATATGCTCAAGTACTTATACATTTTATTTGACTTTAATACATGGAAATTTGATGCATATATTGCAAACTAAATAAAGCAAATAATTTACTATTGTGAATATAAAACTAGATTATTATTCAACAACTATACCTGGTGCAATAAAATAAACAGGTTCTCTTGATACTGCTGTAACCTCTATATTTTGATTAGAAGGATTAAAAATAATTGAGATGTCAGTTCCCTTAGAATCGGCAGCTCGCCACCTTTCCTTATCTAAAAATAAGTTTTATATTAATGCATGCCATTACATATAAATAGTTAAATTTGAAACAGCTAGGAATTTCTGGAAAAAAAAAAAAAAGAGTTTCCATTGGGAAAAAAAAAGTTTTTCTACAATACTAAATACTAAAGCATCCAAATAAACAAACTAATTCATTTGACACTAATATATCTAATATAAAAATAATAGTAACTATTGTTTCAAGGAACATTAACTTACTCATATACACTTAAAGCTATTTTAAAGTGAATTTCATAGTTTCAATACCCTAATTAATTCCTTGTACGAAGTAAAGGAAGTATTGTAATCATGAAAAATTCCGGGTATCATATTTCAACGCAATTATCCATTTTGACTGCTATCGAATGCAATTTAATGATGTTTTTACATGACATCTTTACGTAAGGATAGAATAAAGGACTCCTTTTTCCCCAAACAGATTACAAAATTGATTTAAAATACATTTAGAAGATATTTTGTTCATCTCTCAGCTCAGTAACAGTTTGTTTAATTATTATATGTTAGTAAATTGTGCATTTTTTGCTTTAAAAATTAATTGAATTAATGTTTTTATCTTCTGATTAAGAATTTTATGCCTTTAGTTAATCTGCATGCAATAGTTGTAGAATTATCAACAATTTAAAAGAGTTGCTAAGTGTAGCTAAGCCTAACTTTTTTAAACCATAGCAGCCACATTTCTTTAAATTTGAAACCTAGTGGAATAGTGAATTAAGTCAGTTTCTGCACCTTCAGTGTCTTTTTGTTCAGTAGGACCAAAAGTAAACTTTCAGTTTTGTGCACTGAAAAGTCTGCTTTTTTGCCTGCTGGCTGAATTGCTTGTTTTTGAATGCAAACTCTAATTTTAATTGTAAAAATTGCCTTTTAACTGTTTTAACTGTATTTGGTGTTTTATGTTTTTTTTATATTTTTCAATTTTTAATTAAGATATTTTGAGGTTTTATGTATTTTTGCTTTGCCGCAAAGTGAGAACTGAATTAATTGAATGAGAAATCTATCTGTAATGAAATTCAAGGAAATATGTTTATATGAAATGCAGCAAAAAATGTGTGTAATTTAATAGGCCATACAAGGAAGTTGTGTGGTATCCTGAGATTTTTTTAATTAAATAAACAAGTTACAAGTAATTTATGTTTTTATCGCAATGAAGTAAATTATTAACTGCATTGCTTCAATGAAATGACACAACAAAACTATTATCTTTTATCCACTATGATTTATATCTTTATTCAATAGCAAATTATCGTAATGTTATTAACAAGAATTAAAAATAGTCAAAGAGAAAAAAAAAAAGAAAAAAAAAGCTATTTTAAGCAAATAAAAACATTTTATACAGTTGTATCATTTTTACATTTATTGAGACTTGAAATTAAAAGACTTAAAGTTATTAAGGCTTTAAAATTACTGAGTCATGCATTAGATGAAGATAATTAATAAAAAATTATGAAGCTACAGGAGTTTGAGTTTTATCATAACAATCTCCTTCCATCCCAATGACAAAATCCAAAATAAAATTTTTCTGTTAAAAACAAGAGTTGATATATAAATGGATAAAGAAAAGAATGCCTCAAAACTTAGCTGTATACTAATTCAATATCAAAAATGTATTTTTAAGAAACTACACTAGCAAACTTTTCAGTATTATTAAAAGTGTGTTTCCTTGATAGTTATTTTAACGATATCAGATCTCATTTACATGAGTTTAATTTCAGCAAATATCAAAATACTTTTTGAACTATTACATTAATCATATGATTACTAATTCTTTTCATTCATCCCTTTGCTCTGCCTAGCATTTACTTCAAACATCAGTTTGAGAAAAGTAGCTAGTAAATTAACATGTATTTTATTTAGATCAATTATTCAGAATTAATTCCTTAATTAGAAACAACAAAGAATTCAAAATCATATAAGAGATACCTTTACATTTACCAATTTAATTTTAATGTATACTATTTACCTCTAACAAATACACTGTCAATAGATGTAACAGAATATCCAGGTGCACTTCTACATATAGATGAATGGCCAAAACAGAAACAAGGTAGGCATCCAAATTCATTTACTGCTTGAAGATCAAAATATCCAGGTTTGCATCTGAAATATATAAAAGTAACACATTAAAACTAAAATTCCATACAACATATTAAAACTGAACGAAAAAGTAAAGTGTTTTTAATATTCAAGTTTCACAAGTAAGCAGAATTTTTGGTGTAATTTTATTTTCTAAAATATGAAAACAAATCTCTGAACTTGAAAATAAAGATTTGAAAGGGAAATAATATCTGCAAATTAAAAGTAGTAAAAAGAATTTCATGCTTCATATTTATATTGACATATTTGCACATAGTCTCCCTCATTTAAGTATTATTAGATGCCCCTCTTTTTTAGAAATGCAAAGACACAGATAAATGTTTATTTGATATATAACGATAGTTTCTGAAAACCAGGAAATAGGCTGACTAAAAAACAGTGAAACTAAAAGAATGCCTCAAATGATTAAAAAAAATGTCGAATTGAAAATTTGGTAGTTACAGTAACAGCTTGATTACATAGCTTCGAAAATACTGAATGTCAGATAAATGAAAATTTTAGACAGCTAGCTGAATGTGTAAAAAGTGCAATTCACAGAGCTGTTGGAAGAACTTTAAAGGAACAGATCATTCTTTATTTATTAGATAATCAACAAATACAATTAATGGTATGCAAATGTATTGCATACTGAAGTACATATTAAATAGTAAGCATGGCTTACAAATAAAAGTAGATGTAGGTTGAGTTTGATATGTTCTGACTGCAAAGGAAGTTTTTGCAAAAAATCAAAGTACACTTTAAATAAATTTTTTTAAAAATCATTTTTTGTTCTTAATAACATTTTATGACCATTTAGTTCTCTCAATAATAACTTTCTAGGTAATGTCTTAAGGAAGAGGCATGACCAATTAAAAAAAAAATCACAGAAGAAAAGCAAGTCCGATTTCAGAACTTCAATGATATGAGGAAGAGTCGCTTAAAACAGATAGGATTACCTTTTATAGAAGCCCTAGTACACCGTGCAAAAAATCTTACGGTTGTGTTGTGAAGTCATACTTATCTCTCGACATGTAAAAATACTGTTTTGTGACAAGGTAAAATATGTGTTTTAGAATGGCTTTGCAAGTCTCTCCTTTTGCTTATTATGGAGAGGGGAGAAAGGATTTCTAAAATTCTAAAAATTCTGGTTACTATTAACCATTTTCATTAGTTTAATGCTGGCTAGTTGGACTTTTGCTATAATAGAAACAACAAACTTAATTAATTGGAAGTAACACTTATTTGAAAAGGTAATACTAGTTTCGAATGGCAATGTCTGGAGACATGGCTTGGATTTGGGTGCCTGGTCCCAACCTAAGTCCAAGAGTCTCCATTTTGCTAAAAGAGAATACTTCTACAAATCAGAAATCTATTCATTTCACAAAGATGAAAGCACAGCCTTAGTGGTATACTGGTGCTGTCTTATACTGGTATACTGGTGCTGCAGCTCAAATGTATACCACAGAAATCTCATCAAACTGATAGCAGGATCTCACATGGAAATAAGCCTCGTTTAAAGGATGGAATGAGCTTCTTCCCTCTAATACACTATTGCCAATGCTGTAAAGGGTGTAATTTTCATCAGATATCAGGATGTGATCCAAGAATGTTCAGCTTTCAGAATGAAAACAAGAAAATACACGCAATCACGAGATTTTCTTTTTGTTTAACTGTAAACTTCATAACAAACCAAAACCTGTTTTTTATTAACCTTAACCAAACTGATGGAAATATATCACATTATTTTGTGTGGATAGTTTCCATCACTTTTGCTAATTCTTGCATGGTTTAACACAATTCAGTTCAACTTTCATCTTCAGCATGGTCATATACAACCAACAACAGCTCTGAAAATGTCCCATGGCATTACAGTATGCAATGATCATGTTTTTTTAGAACTCTTGTGTGAGTTTCATCCTAATGAAAGCAATTAAACAAATACAGGTAGGTATGTTCTTTGTTCACTTTGTTTTTTAGTTTTTTTTAGTCACACTCCAGTTCTTCACATTTTCATGGCTCAAGGGCATCATAATTGCTAATCTACACTGTGGATGGGTTTTGAATCCAGATGTTTGTACTATCAGATATCTTTTCTGATCTACTGCTGACCATCTTAAGCAATTAGCTACTGTGGGCTTTAACCTAGTTAGCAAGTTCTCTAAGGCAACTGGTGGTAAATTTGTAATAAGCACAATCAGCGCCGCTATGGGGCGAAAAACTAATGCATGATCGAGCTGGTGAGAAATGATGCAGTAACAGGGTAGAATCACAAAAGCTGTTGCTCTGTGTTGCCATCTAGTGATGAATGAAGACTTGAAAGAGTAAAGAGAAATGAAAGGAAAACTTACAACACAGCATATTATCTTGCAATATAGGAACAGTGAGAAATAAATATAAAACAGAAAAAAACATAATATAATGAATACCTGTGAAGTGTAGAAAAAATATGTGAATAATAAGATGAAAATAATAAAGCAAAGTTCACATCCTGCTTTTCCAGGAAATACAACATCTCAAACTGTTTTTCAGTTAAACAGAGGTAATTTTAGAATATATACATCTACATATATTATGCACATGAGGTAGTACTGTGAAAAATCGTCCTCAGCACTTGTAGGGCTGCAAAATTATCACATCATAATTTATTAAATTAATATGTGGATAGTCGAAACTTGCAACAGATTTGCAGAAATTATCTACATTCAAACAAAGAAATTTTGGCCATGTGGGATGTTTTGATTTAAACGGATGTTTTGCACAAACCGAAAGGTACTGGTTAATGTTTCTGATAATTTTATTTTAAAAATCCAGACTTTCTTAAGCTAGTTTTTTGCAGCAGTTGCCCAAACTGAAGTTCCATAGGGAGTTCTTTTCACATAAGTGTAATTTGGTTTATGACCAATTAAACTGTAGATGCATATAGGCAGGCAGCATTTTCTTTAAGTGCATAATTAGCATGATCTTTAAAATTTAACTGCTCATCCAACATGACTCAAAGATATTTAACAGAGTTCATAACTGGGAGTGGGTAGTTTTTTATGTAATTATTCAGACTGACGTTATGGTTTTTACTGCATCTTCTGAATAGAATGAAACTGCATTTATTTAAAACAGAATACTTCTACAATTATTTCACCAAAATGAAAGCACAGCTTCAGTGGTATACTGGTGCTGTCTGAGAGCAGCTCAAAATAAGTACATTAGGAGTCCAGAAATCCTCATAACTTGGGACCAGAGGTTGTGCGAATTTCAGGACAGAAAAGATAAATCATAATATTCAGACTAAAAATGCAAAATAAATAACGTGTATTAAATGCATTTAATTCATTTATTACATACATTATTACAATAATTTATTATATGCATTAAATTATTATTACATATATAAATTGATTATATTATATTATTCATTTACATTAGGCTCCTCTATTTTTAAATCAGCATGGCTCCTCTTTTTTAAATCAGCATGAATCTGCTTCCCCTTTTCTCTCAGGAGCGATCCTGAAATTGGTACCCCATCACTCTGCCACTGCCGGAATCACTCGTACAAGACAGCAATCAAGGTTTGCCGATTTCGCCTCATGCAAAGATTTCTGGTTTTGGATTTCGGTGAAGAACCACTGTTGCTGTAAAATTTCAACAGTTTTTCTTTATTTTTCCGTATATCATACACAGTCTGTATCGCAATTCCATACGATTCTGCTATAAACTGAGGAGTAGCACCTGCCTCCATCTTTTGCAGAATTTCCACTTTTTGCATTAATGTTAATACAACATGTTTACGTTTTTCAATGTTGCAAGCAGTAAAAGCCCAAGTGCATTTCTTATCTGTCAATGCATTAAAAAGCGCTGAAATTTAAAATATTCATAATTTATTCACAAAATATCCAGATTAAAAAAAACGACAACACTAAGCAATCTCATGAAACAACAAAGCTCAGAAAATAAAAGAACATGAATCATGAACTTGAAAAGAAGAGTTGAGTGAATCGTCTGCTTTTTTACCTTGATGCAGATTGGAGAGGAAAAAAAAATTTTATCATGATGTCAATAATTTGATATTTTCATTATGACTCATTATTATTTGGTAATTATGACGTCATTATTCAGTAAGTATTTTTTCTTCGATATTTCGTACTCCATGTTGCGGTTTCCAGAACCTATAATGTTTATATTTTGAGAGGCAACCCGGATTTCAGGTCGGCAGATTTTCGATATTTGACTGTACCACCACAGAAATCTCTTTACACTGACAGCAGGATCTCACATGGATATAAGCCTAGTTTAGCCACTTGCGCTAAAAAGATGTGCCACGCATGTCGAGATGCTTTTACCTCAAACCAAAAATGAAAATAATGTGGTACACACGTCACCTAACAATGAGATTGTTCGTTTCTTGAGTTACAGCTCTGGATTGCACTCGCAGACGCGGAGCGGGGTAAATGAGACACTTTACCGCTTGTTATATTGTAGTGCATGGCACCTCAACCGTGAAGTTTAGTCGTAGAACAAGTGGTTAAAGTATGGGATGAGCTCCTATCCTCTAACCCACTGTTACCAATGTTGTAAAGGGTCTAATTTAAATTTTAACTTTATTGTTAACTCACAATTAACTCAAAATTGTACCAAAATTGTAAATAAATTTAACTCATAAATTGTACCTGTGTGCCACGATGTTACTCCAAATTGTAAATGATCGGTAGAATATTGCAACTTGCTAGATCTACACATAACCTCAGTATTATCAGCATACTTTGCTATCTTGCGACATAGGGGTTCCACCAAATCATTGAGATAAATGTTGAAAAGTTCCAGAGCTAAGATTGCACCTTCTGGTATACATACTTTGATATTTTTTTTTTTTTTAACTTCAGAGTATATCCCCTATTCTGATTTGGAAGGTGTGACATTTTTAAGAACTAGAATCAATTTTTACTAGACATAAGTTTGTAAATTAATCTGGGGGTGCCGAATTCTATATAAAGCATTTTCTAGATCAAGAAAATAAACTGTAATGCTGGAATTATTGAGATCTCTTTCTTTCAAGAATTTTTATTTCATTTTTCCATTACTGAAGAGGGGGAAGTAAAGAAACGGGGAATAAAAGAAAGAAAAGGAAGAAAAAAAGAAAAGAAAAATTTGAAATATAAATAAATACAGTCAAAAGTCTTTAATCCGGACTCATCGGGACTTCGGCGATTCCGGATTATCGATTTTTCCAGATTATAGATAACCACTTTAAATCTGGTAAGATGGCATGCAGAAATTATAAAATTAAAAATATGAAACTGTAATTTATGAAATAAAGAACAATTATGATCTAAAGGGTATCAACATTTACACACGCAAAAAAAAAAAAAAAAAGTTTAATATTGATTTGTTTACTTTATTAAACATTTCTTTCAATCTAAGTTGTTTAAATTGCTTCGTTTTATGTGATAATACTTTCTCTTTAATTCTATAAACAGACATAATTTCTTGTTCAGTTACAAAGTTCTGCGGTTCAAGTCCTATAATTGCTGTGTCGAGAATACCGACTAATTTGTCAAACTAAATTTTTTCGTTTTCAATAACCTCTGCGTCACTTTCTTCAGTATTATAAGCCAAATAAAATAAAAACATCTGCCTTGAAGATAAGGATAGTGCTGACAGATCAATTTCCAGTTCATTGCGCACCGCAACACCCCCCCCCCCGCAGAGCAGCATGAAATTGATAAACAGTTTTCGGAATGGTTAGAGAAACAAAGGATATGCCTTTATCCATTTTTTGCAGCAATTCCACTTTTTGTTTGATGGACATCGAAACATACTTTCGCTTTAGATTCTTTGGCAGCTCCAGCATCGGAAATTCTATTTGACATAATCGAAAGTTCAAGCTTACTTTTATAAAATTGCTCTAACAGTCTGCAAAAAATAATAAGCCAGATCCAATTCAAAGATTAAGGAACAACGCAATCTGAAACATTAACTGAAATAGATACAGTCAAAAGTCGTTAATCCGGACTCGTCGGGACTTCGGCTATTCCGGATTATAGATCATCAGTTTAAATCTGGTAAGATGGCATGCAGAAATTATAAAATTAAAAATATGAAACTGTAATTTATGAAATAAAGAACAGTTATGTTCTAAAGGGTATCAAAATTTACAAAAAAAAGCTTAATATTTATTTGTTTACTTTATTAAACATTTCTTTCAATGTAAGTTGTTTAAGTTGCTTCGTTTTTTATGTGATAATACATTCTCTTTAATTCTATAAACAGACATAATTTCTTGTTCAGTTACAAAGTTCCGTCTACCGACTAATTTGTCAATTGAAACTTTTTCGTTTTCAATAACCTCTGTCACTTTCTTTGCTATCGGAAGCGATTATAATGACGAGAAATTTGATTTAAATCATATCAAAGCCGGAGTACATCAAGATGAAATACTACATTTAGTAAGGAATTATAAGCCAAATAAAATAAAAACATCTGCCCTGAAGATAAGGATGGTGCTGACAGATCAACTTCCAATTTACTGCGCGCTGTGGCGTTAAAGATAAACAAAGTTTAGATAAACAAAGGATATGCCTTTATTCATTTTTTTGCAGCAATTCCACTTTTTGTTTAATGAACTTTGAAATATACTTTCCCTTTGTAGACCCTTTACATATTAATAAATATATATCAGAAATTTTATTTGACATAATCGAAAGTTCAAGCTTACTTTTATAAAATTGCTCTAACAGTCTGCAAAAAATAATAAGCCGGATCCAATTCAAAGATTAAGGAACAACGCAATCTGCAACATTAACTGAAATAGTTAATTAGATAATTTTAGCTTAGCTTATACCGTCCGTTGTACATTAAACGCACACTCGTAAACGTATTTTGCGCACAAGCATATTCGCAGCCATAAAGGTCTTACGCGCATGCGCAGTGTGTAGCTTTGAGGTCCGGATTATAGATCATTCCGGATTATGGATGTCCGATTTAACGACTTTTGACTGTAATTAGATAATTTTAGCTTAGCTTATACCTTTCGTTATACATTAAACACGCATGCATAAACATAATTATATGCATGCGTAAACACGTATGCGCATGCGTGAATGCATTATGCGTTGACGGGGAAAAAAAGGAGGGAAAAAAAAGGAGTTTAAAAGGAGGGAAAAATTATGTAATATATAAACAGGTAAAAATAAATTAAGGTCAGATTACAATTCTATCAGAAATATACATATATAAAAGTTGCTATAAGCTCCTCCATCTGTCATTTAATATTTCATAATTTTTAACAACAGAATTGTGTACATAAAGAGTTACAAATAATGGACAACTTACTGATCACATTGTGACCCTTCAACATTTTCTTTGCATCTGCATATACCAGATACAGGATCACAAGAAGGAGTATTACCAATACTGCCAGCAATATTGCAACCACATGGTCTGGAAAGAAAATTCTAATTTTATCGTAAATGTAAATATCTAAAATAAACAAATTCGTAATTTCATGAGGAAAGCAATAATCATAGTCATAATAATAATAATAATAACAAATTAATAAAAAATAATATTAAAAGGACAAAATTCCAAATTATCAAAAAAATCTTTTTACTACTTCATCATTATTAAATATTAATAATTAGCTATCTAACAGTTAAACAAAACATAAAAGGAAATTTTTATGAATTTCAATTTTTGCATATCATCATATATAAGTAACAGTGATACACTTCAGCCAAAATACCTAGAAGACTGGAGATGGTAGTTCCTTTTGCAATACGATATTTTTAATGTATTTCAATGAACTGAAAATCTCAGCTTTCGTTATCTCAAGAAATACTTGATCTTTTTACAGGGAATATCAGTTAAAATTTAATTATAAAAATTTTGAAATTAGACATTTATATTTCATTACATAATTTCATAAGTAACATTTAAAATAAAGAATGACCACTTTAATTTTTGTTCAACTAGAGAAAAAATTTGTAAATAGCTTCCCCCCCCAGAAACTCAGAATTGCAAATTTGCATAAAAATTATTAATGCATTTTTAGAAAATATTTTAATAATTATGAACTAAAAAATTTATTGAAACCAATTTACTGTTTTAATTTAATAAAAAAAATCAGAAAACATATAATCTCACTAAAAATAATGAGTGGAACTTTAAAACTGATGACAATACTAGTTGGCAGATATTTTTATTATCACTTCCTTTATATCATTCCTGGTATCAATGGCATCCTTCATCGCAGAGAATACGATGCATACGGCACATACCCATAAATTTTAAATTGTGAAAAATATTTATTTTTTAATTGAATCACATAGCAAAGTAATAATTAATTAATTTAATTATACGGCTTTGCAATGAATCGTGAACTTTCTTTAGAATCAGAAATTTTAAACAATACAGTCTGTATGCTGCCATGCCTTCTTTCCTTTTGCCCCTAAGAGACTGCATGCTTTTGAGTGTACAGCAACTGCTGATGAAATGTTTCATCTATGTAAAGAGAACTTCTCCCTTCCCCTACTTTTCTCCCGCCAATATAAATTCCGACACTAAAATAAGGCTGGCTTATTATTATTCCTGGCCTTCTTTCAAAGTTCAAAATGATAATATATCAAACCTTAAAAATCAAGTGAGGTACCTTTTCTAGACAGACCACCCCTATGTTGATAATGCAGCTATTGAAAAAAAAAAAAAAAAAAAAAAAAAAAAAAACTTTTGATTAAAGTGATTAAAAAGATGCAACAATTCTTATGACAGGCTAATTAGGTTCCTAATAACTCTTTTTGGTGAGACTATAATCACAATCAAGAATTTAACCTGAAAAGTCAAAGAGTTTTATCTAATGTGTATATGATATTGACTGTTTCCATTTAATTAATAACACACTTATTGGATTACTCTTGCTTGTTACCCCTGTTGACTACATGGACCTTAATGTAAGAATGAACCTAAATCAGAAAATAATCAGATAATCAGAGAATAAGTCAGATTGCTGTCTGAAGCACTCGGTGCGATTGCACTGGGAACAACGCATGATCGCTATCCAACTCATGAATGGCTTCACATCTATACAGATGGTTTTGTTTTTATCTGCCAATTAGAAATTTCATGAGCCATTTTGATGGTGAGTTGGAATCAATGCAACTCTTCACCAACTTTCTATTCACCAGAATTCCTTTGAAAGGGCTGTGATATTTATTCTCCAATTAAACATCTGCTCTTCAGACTTTATTATCTAATCAGTAGAACAAAAGCCCTCGTGTCCAGCAGTGTAGATCTCTGCTTGAGAGAATTCAATACAAGTGGTTCTTTCCAGTGGGTATCCTTCCAGTGTGGTGTTGAGGGAAATGAGAAAGTGGATCTTTTTTGCAAAAAGAAAAAATCAACCTTTTTGCAAAAAGAGGTTACACTTTAATTCAGAAACTAAATAAAAATTAGATCTTTCATTCTTCAAAACAGGAGATTAAAAAAAATCTTCATACTGTCCTTTTATACAGTGTCTACTCTCTCTTCCTGTACTAAATCTTGGAGTGTCCTCAGCACCAATTCTAGGCCACCTGCACGAGAAGCATCTTGTTCCAGATACTCATCGTGCAGCTACGGTGGCCATTTTTAAGCTGTTGACTGGACAAGACTGCCTCTGTGCTCAATTATTTCATTTTAATATTGTTGACTCTTGCAAACACAGGTGCTTTCAAAAGACTATTCAAAAGCTGTTAAATTTTTGTCTTTTTTTGGAAAAGAAAATTACTTAACAATTACTTAAATTACTTTAAGATTTATCTTAAACAATATATGCAATGAATGTAAAGATAAAAATGTGAGGCATTTTCAAACAACATAAAGCAAGAAAATTAGCTAGGCAATAATTTATGATACTAGAGATACCACAGCAATAAGAATCAACATAAATTATGTAAATTTGCAATACTAATTTCCAAGGTCAAATAGACCCTACTTCTTTAGCTGCAAAAGTGAAAATGATGAAGAGGCAGCAGGTGCTCAGGAGAAAACAATAGGCAAAAAATTCGATAAAGTTCCAGTTAAGAAAGAAACAAAGCCACTACAAACACCTATTGACAAAAAGTGAAAATAAGCTGTGAAAAAAATTTCATTAAACCAAAATGCAAAGATGGATTAGAATTAAGATTATTAACTAGAACAGAAAATTTTTTTATGAATGTGAAACTCATCTATGAAATCTAATATGACAGTGGAAGATGTTTTAAGCAGAAAATTTGACTTTTTGACCAGCAATGTTGGAAAATTAGCATAGCATTTCATAGAAATTCTATAAATTATGTTCATTCACATTAAAATTCCATCATTTACATTTTAAATACATCACATGGATTTAAATTTATATCATTATATTAGTTCCATTTCATGTAAAATTTGCTGCAGTTTGTAACAAAACAGAATAAATTATGTCTTTATTCTATGGAACTTATTTAATAGGCCATTTGATCCCTAAGATTATGTATCCCTACAAAAGTGGAACTGTGTATTCTGAATATTAAACCATTTTGAATAGTAAATATTTCCTATAGTAAGTTACCTTTCTATTTACTATTCAAAATGGTTTAATATTAGCTTAAAAAAATGTGTATTCTAAAATGATATACAATTAAATCCCAAGTTGAAAATATAAAACAAGAAAAAATTATTCTTTAATGCACCTACTTTCAACAAAGTTAAACTTATCACATGCTAAAAATAAATGGCTGAAGGTAGTCATATGTTGCTGGTTCTTGCAAAAAATCGCACATTAAATGTATTAGAAGATTTCAAAAACTTACCAATTGATTTTCATAAAGTTTTTTTTGCTTAGGATTAAGTACTCTAGCGATCATTTCTTTCTTGTTTCCCTATTACTAATCCATCTAACTGTATATTTAGATTTCTGAATGGAAATATTATCCACAAACAATAAATGCTTACAGAGTACTTACCTACATCCCACCTCAGAAAAATCATAAAAGTTAGCAGAACATGTATCACAACGTGTGCCTTCAACACCTGGCTTACATTGGCATTGACCTCTGTTATTGCACTGTAAACTTCTAGAACCTATGTAAAGCAGAATATTTAAACATATATCAAAGTCACACTAACAATGGTTTTGCTTAAAAAGATACATAAAGCAAAGCAAATTGAAAACTGAAAAATAAAATAAATCATAATCTTAGTTCCAAACTGATAAAAGGTCGCAAGCTATGTTTGCAAAAGATTCTTTAATTACACTAAGCATGCTAAGGAAATTTTGTCTGAAAAACTGATATAATGTTAAATTAAACAAAATCTACTAGGAATTTGATAACATCCTGCACAGCAGTAAGATGAAAATTTACAAGTATTTTATTGAGTATACATTTTATTTTTTCTCTGCCTCACTTCATTTTTACTTTTTATTTATTTGTTTATTTTATCAAAAACTAGTTTAAGCTAAATAATAAGATATTAAACAAAAATTCAAGCAACTGATTTTTATAAACTTTGAAGACTTTATTTTCTAACTGAGCTCAAAATTTCTGTTCTCAAATATATATGTTAGACTTATATGTACTTATTCCTATCGTTTATTTCATGCATTTAATGCAACATTATTTAGCATGCATTAGTTGATAAATTAATTAAACATTAGCACATCAAAGTAGGATTTGCTTTTATAACTTCTTACAGGAGTATTTTTCATTAAATTTACATTAAAATTAAAATCTACTGTTGAGGGATACTTTTTAATTTACATAATTATTTACTAGCAAGTGGCAACAGTGGTTAGGGTTTTAACTCTTGTTCAGTTATGCAAAAAGGTGTTCAAAAAGAAGAAAACCAAAATAAAATGTTAGAAAATAATCAAAATAAAATCATTTCAACCATGAAAGATTCTGACTTGAAAGAAGATTAATAATAAAGAATAAAATCAAAAATATGAAGCTGAAAATTAACAATCTATTGCTTTATTATTATTATTTTTAATAGATACCATTTCCCATGCAACACAAATGTACAACACATGGCTTATAAAAGTAAGTTAATTAAAACATTAAATATTACATGGATAAATAAAATGAACAAAAAACAGAGAATAGCAGTCTAGACTTCTCTAAAACAGATAACTTCACTGGTCAAGTCATGCTAACTATTATTATTATTAGTTATTATGCAATCTTGGTAATAATGATTATATTTACATAGTTAATTTACTTCTGTACACAGTAAAAACTAAAGAATTTGATTGCATCCTATTGTCATATTTACAATAAAAATTTTAAGCCACTTGCATTGAGAGAAACATTTTTAATTTCTCAACACTCATCGGAAGCATTGCACGTTTTACATTCATTTGTTCTGCAAGCATACATTTCAAATTGTTCTGCAAGCATAATCTAGGGTCATCGAAAGTAGGACAGGAAAAATTAAATGTTCCACATCTTGAGGCATTTTTTTTTTAACACTCACATACATTAGTTGATCTTAGACTGAAACAAAACAGGTAACTTGGAAATTTACCATAACCTAATGAAAATTGAGATATTTTAAAAGTAATAAAGAGGAAAGACTCAGAATACAAGCTATGGTAAATAGAAGAAAGAACATTTTGGTGCCCTTAAGAATACATTTCATCTTAAGATGAAATATATTCTTCATTCCACTTAAATAAAAGCTTCTTATGATAAAAGGACTTCCAGTAACTTTTTGGAATGCTGATATTGATATCAATATCTATCAAAGTATTAGAAGCAGAAAACTACCAACGTAGAGGGATTTTGTAATGGTGTCACACCAGGAAGCAATATCATGAGAAGATATAGAAAAACTGTTAGAAGTTATTGAAAAACAGAAAAACTCTTTAATTAATAACCAAGCTTGGAAAGTTGTGAATGAAAGTGAAGCAGAAAATAAGAAAATTCTAAGCAGTAAACGAATTTGTAAAACCAAAGGAGATGGTTGATTCAAAGCTAGACTTGTTATTAGATGGTTAAAAAGAAAAGGAAGTGACTTTGAAGAAACATAGTCTTACTGTAAGCATTACAGCATTAACCTCTTTGCTCCCAACATCAAAAGAATTAAGTTCCTCCATATGTTAGTGAACTTGAAACACTGAATGTCACTTTGTGCCTGAGCATGTTTTGAAGTTAAGTCTAATACTCTGAAATTATTCCTATAAAATCTACTTTTTATCAAAATATTTCAATTATTACAAAATATTTGGATTATATTAAAAAATTAAAATCATAATATTTACAATTAAAATAAAAACTTATGATATTTTTTCCCACATTTCTGCATGCCTTCGTGGTGTAACTGGAAGCACACTCAATGTATATTCAGGAGGTCTGGAGTTCAAATCACAGCAAGGGCATTGCAATTCCTTCAGTTTCCTGGCACTGAAAAATTCTAAATGACTCAACAATACAACACCTCAACTAAAAGATGGTAGACTACAATTCATGATCACCAGGTTTTAGTGACTGGGTCCCCTAATCCACAGTCGGTCTTTAAAAGGGGGAGCATATATAGTACTTTCTCCCACCTTTCCCACAGGCCTTTGTGGTGTAACATGAAGCATGCTCAAAGTATATTCGGGAGTTCAAATCCCAGTGAAAGCATTCAGGTTTTCTTCAATTTCCTGATAAACAAAAAATATTCTTAATGACTCTACAAGTGATGCCTGAACTAAAAAAGAAGGGGGATGATAATTCCTCACCATCAAAATTTGGCGATTAAGTCTCCTCATCCCCCAGTCACCCTTTGAAAAGGGAAGTATATAAGGTATTTTCTCCCTTTTGGCATGCCATCATGGTGTAACTAGAAGCATACCTGATGCATATTTGGGAAATTTGGAGTTCAAATACCAGCAAGAACATTGCATATTTTTCACGTCTCTAGCATAAAAAAACCTAATAACAAACTGAAAATAAGTTATTATGCAATCTTGGTAATAATGATTATATTTACATAGTTAATTTACTTCTGTACACAGTAAAAACTAAAGAATTTGATTGCATCCTATTGTCATATTTACAATAAAAATTTTAAGCCACTTGCATTGAGAGAAACATTTTTAATTTCTCAACACTCATCGGAAGCATTGCACGTTTTACATTCATAGCACAAAATATTAAATAATATTCATAACAAAAAGGCTAACACTCAAAAGTTTTCATTCAATAATATGTTCCAGCATTCTAACATCATTTACAGATGAAAACAGGCAAAAAGTTTCCGAACTCAAAAGTGTTAAGATAATAAAAAAGATTTTGTACATAAACAACTATTTTTGCTTGTTCTTGGAAAAAAAATTACAAATTTTTCATTTTCTAAATGAAAATATGTTAGTGCATGCATTTATGTACCTCTTAGTGTGCATATAGTCCTTACCTACTGGATCACAATTGCAAGGCACACATCGTTCATCCTCTCGCTGATAATAATTTTCTTTACATCTCTCACAATTGGCACCATCAGTATTATCTTGACACTCAATGCAGTGACCACCGTGCCCAGTTTGAAGCCATAGTTCTTCATCAAAGTAGCACCTATTAGATCTCCCATTGCAGTTACAAGCTATAATAGAGAAGAGCAAACATTTAAATTAATCATATATGTAATGTGTACATATTTATCCCACAGGTGCATCAATTAGCAATAAGCTTCTAATTAAACTGAAATAAATTTATGAGTGCTAAAAAATTTTACAATTATAAAAAAGGACAATATATCAAACTCATTTTATAATATGGATATTTTAACTAAAATTTTGATAGTAAGTTGAGCTTTTACAATTTAACATTCAGTTCTGTCCCAGTTTCATGTCAGCCTTCGTGGGTGAAGGTGCTCCATTTTTCAAGTGCTGAATGAGCAGAGAGAACGATCTTGTGCCAAAAGGCACCCATGATCTGAATTTACTTTTGATGGTAGGCCTAATGCTGCTGGTAATATGTCTCATAATCCAATGGACTCCAAGAAATCAAATCCAAGAAATCAATCTTCTTGAACATTGGATACAGGAAAATAAAATGTCAAAATTCTGCAACAATCAAATGCACTCAGCTGGTGAGCCTTCTGCCTTGATACTGATTACCTGATCCAAGAAAATGAGAGATGCAAGAGTCACACAAGCAGTCCCCCACTCCTCCCTAAAAAACTTAAACTTAGGTAAATGCAAAAGCAATACTAATGTTGAATATCTGAAAATTTAGGGGTTTTAATCTTTATTAACTTTTAACTTTGACTCAACTTATGGTGCCGGACAAAAAAATCAAAATAAAAAAAATATAATCATCATATTCATCATTTATAACATTCATATATCATATCGAACAATCAATCGTATAGTGGTATTGGGTTAGTACAATAGGGCACGTTGTGAAGCCCACTAGGGAAAAATCAATAACCCCAAATTCAATTAAAGCTCCACGTTTCTTTAAAAGCCTCCAGGCTCAAACAAATGGAGGGACAGATCAAACCACCATAAATTACACACAAGATAAATACACAAATGCATTTAAATTTTAAACACATATTTATTAAATTCTTGAATATATTGTTATTATAATACTTGGTAACTGATCAGTATCCCCTACCAATATTTTTACTATGAAAATATCATCTGTCACAAAAATTTCAGTTTACAATAATTAAAACATTTAATTAATATTTAAAATTTTTCAAGAAATTAAGAAGGTGTAACATATTTTAATTCTCCAATAAATTGTTCTCATTATTAGAACTAACATTTTCTGACTCACAAACTCAGTAGGTGAAACAAATTTTAAACATCCCAAAACTGGCCATTACTTGAAATAATAAATCACTTCTCAATTTTACTTACTGAAATATCTATAAGGAATAACAATATAAACAGGTAGATAAATCATTATTAACTGTTCCACTATAGCATTTGGGAATACTAAGACAGAGAGAAAATAATCTTAAAAATTTCACTCGCACATTCTTTGGAATACACAACCTTGACGGAGTGTCCAGTTTTTCTAGTCACGGAGGAAGTCTATTTCCTTGAGCCAACACCTTGATTACAGTTTAACTAACACTCTTGCGCTAAAGTCCATTCTGTACAAGAATATCTGGGAATGTTTATGTGTCTGGAACCTCAGGTGCCGGATACTAATGACACATACTTCCTGTTTGAAATTCCCAAGTGTCAGACATACTCACTTCAGGAATGTCAAATTTTTGGTTTCGGAAGGATTATTTGGACATTCGGGTGAAGAGGGAAAATCTGTAGTAAATTGCTCTTTACATCTCGCACAAAATTTTTAAACATCTCACAGAAAAAATGCCTCTTCTAGAGAAAAGAAAGCGCAGCTCAAACCCTCTTGCTCAGGCAGCCCACAGCACAGCAAGACGGCCGCAGGGCAACCGCCGCTAGGACTTCACATCGCTGCTGCTCAAAATCGTTCTATATCAGACTCCAAAGAAAAACCCATAACCGGAGCCTGTTGGTACATGCCGCTCACGAGAGCAAGACACGCAAGGGTCAAGCCCCCTTTTCCCCCCTCCTTCTTCTTCAAAAATCAGAATCCGAATGAATTCTAGCAAGGTGCAAACCTCCCAGGAAATCTCAGTTTCTCCGCCTCTGTAAGTTCATAAGCTTACAAAAAATCATCAAATTAAAATCACACGAATGCCAGAATTTTACTTTATCTAAACTGAGAAAAAATTCCACCCCTACAACGAATCAAACACCAGAAAATCTGACAATGCAGTCCGAAAAACATCTGTACAGACAACATGGGAAATAAGTGGACACCTAACTAACCAGCAGAAACTAAGCTTTACGAAAATCCAATTACCTAAGCTTAGTACACCCTCCACTGTCTTGAAGTAAAATTGCAACTATAACAAAGCGAAAGCAAGATTTTCGTTTCAAACGCCATTAGTAAAAGGCAACAACACCCTATTGCCTCCACTGTTAGTAAAAAGACCATAAACCATTAAACCAGGTGGCTCTTGCAACCGTTTCCTGTCTTTGTTACACTACACTTTCAAGAACTAACAGTTAAATAAGGCTTTAACAATTTAAGAATACTCTTTTTACCAGATTAAAATATACATGAGTACAAATAAAAGTATCAGAATAATGAAAACTTAAAACACATATTAATAATTAAAATTCGTGACATAACACTAATGCTAAGGCAAATTTTGATGAAGTTAATGATAATTCTCAAGGCTTTACAAAACTTGAAAAAAATGATGAAAGGGAGCAACAAAAAATCTCTGAAGCCCTACCCATTAAAAATCAATTTGATGCATTAAATTTCCAGCTATAAAATAATGATAAAGACAAGGCTGACTTCTCGATGCAACAGCAGGATATTCCTATCCATCAATCAAACCAGGATATTCCTATCCATCAATCAAACTTAACTCCTGTAAGAGTAAACTTTCAGAACCAAAGCAGAATTGCTCATCAAAGTTAGTGGCAAATTTCTGAAGATCTTTCCTACTACTGCAGCAGACCACAGAACCATATCTAAAT